GAATACAATCTTCCGAAGTTTCTCTTTGCTTCAAAAAATTTATTTAAAAATTTCCTTTAACTTGCGAAACCTTGCTAAATTTCTTTACAAGATCCCAAGTTTGTCTTCTCACGATCTTTCAAAAAACTAAGAATTTCTGAAAAAAATGTCAATAATTTAAAAGACTCATTCGGAATATTAAGATATTTATGCTTATATTTAAAAAAATCAAGAAAGCACTAATAATCTGAGGATTTTACTTTAAATTGCACATGTCAACATTAACATAGATATCCTCTCCAAAAAAGGTGATGACGTAATCTCAAAAAAATTGTATGTTTATATTTATCTATATTTTTTGGAACAGAATATATTATTTTCGTTGTTTTATTCCTTTCCGCCTCCATCTGTAACTCCAAAATTTCATCGTACAACTTGAACTTGACAAAACTAACTAATTCACTTAATTAGAATAAACAAATTCCGATTCCTCTCATCCACAAAAGCTTTGCATTAAAAACCGTCCATCCAAGGCCATCTCTAATTAAAAAAAGCCATAATCCCGCCGCCCCCGTACACATCTTCCAAAACTAAGTCTCTGATGTAACCGATTTTCGCGCCTCCCGCCGACCTTGCTCCTCTGCGACTTCTGGCCGTATCAAACACCGCTCCTTCGTTTTTATGAGAAAGAGTGCTCCTATTGTTTACAAAATTCCTGGCTCGCAAAAACAACTCGCTAGACGGACACGAAGCCAACGTTAAGCCTCGCTCACATGAATCGCCTGAAAACGCATCCGCTGTGTCGAAAATCGCGATGACATGTGCCGCGTTACAGTTAATGCAGAAAATCCAGGAAGATCAAAGACCTGCTCTAACCATGTGTGAAATGGTCGAACGCCAGCCATAAACAATGCGGATTACGTAAGGAACGGAGTTTTTCCTGATTATGGTTAAATGTCATTCGTTGTTGAGTGGACGTCATTGAGTTTATTTTATTAAAATTCATATTTGCAGTCGAGTGGCTGAGGCCGATGGAGTGAAAATAAATAAAACAGTTACATTGTTTACTTTGGCGAGCATGATGTAATTGGAATGGGTTTAGCGAGTCAGTGGACTTGGCGCTATCGGGAATAATGATAAGAGGGTGTCACGTGGGGCGAAGCTGACCATTTTTGGACGTTTGTAATAGCAGGTGACGATGGAGTCGGTGACGGGGTTTTGAAGGATATTGGTACTAAAGTAGGATGTAACATGTTGGTTGACGAAAATGTAGTGACACCAGACAAAATCGAAAATAAAAGCAACCTCGATTTAAAATTAGAGTTTTGCAAATTGTTTGCTAATGAACAGTAAAATAATTAACACCTTTAACAGAAGAAGCAGTGTGTAACACTCAGATTGGGTACTCATAAACTTGAGAAAATGTTTTGTCGCTTGTTCTCCTGTCGGATTTACGTATTCTTGTCTTTTTCTAATTAAATTTAAAGCATTTGCTTATCGCTTATAAATATCACTCATTGTTTATACGCAACAAAACGTCCAGCCATGAATAAGCAATTTTTGAATGTCATTGCACAAATGCGTCAAAGGAGCTTTCTGTGTTGAATAAATGTTTCCATACTGACAAATTTTTTTGTAAAACTTTCTCCTTTTATGAGTAATTGTGCGGGAGAAGAATGACTCACTTTGATCCTGTTGGGCTTAAAAACAAACAGCTTCTTCGTACCGAAGAAACGCGTCATTTTACAAAGAACCAGAAAAAAAATTGCAACTAGGTATTATAAGAACTATGTATTTATATAATTGGTTTTTTCCATTTTTTAAAAGAAAGTATAAAAATTAAGTTACCGATTCAAAAATGTATCTATGACGTCACACCTTTAAGTGGAAAATTTGAAGTGATCACGTTTACGTACAAACTTTTCTTCAAAAAATTGATGACGTTATTTCAAAATATGTAGTAATTTTATTTTAAATCTGGGGAACATAGATCAGTACACTGTGTTAATTTAATGCCAAATTTTGACTTTCCTTATAGAGATTTTTTAAAAGACAAAATTTTTCAACACCAACACAAAATTTTGGTAAAGCGTTAAAATTTTGAAAAACAGGATCAAGTTCTCCACCTTAACATTTTGAATTGAATATTTGTTTACAAAATGTGGGTTTCAGGAAATGTCAGTTTTTTCCAATCTATAACTCTTGACCTGAGCTAATTTTTATTAATAAAGTTTTGCTTATGACAATTTTCTCATGGAAAATTTCTACACCTTCGGAAAAAATAACCAATGTCAAAATTTTTAGAAAGACATTGAAAATCTTAAAATCTGGATTCTTTGAATTAAATTTTTTATGATAACTTCAAAAGATTTTAAGGTATTCGGTTTTGCACTTTCTAAGTTAAATTGTAAAATGCTGTTATACAATTTTGTTTTTTTTTTCCAAAAATCTGGATGTATGGGGTCAAAAATCAAACGGATTCATAAATCACGAGTACAGAAGTGTTAGTTTATAAGAATTAAATAGTATTTACTATGCAATTTTTTTCTTAATCAAATTGTTGTTGGGGCTAATCAAACAAAATTGTGGTTAGCATTTTACCATATACACTATATTCTAAAAATAAATCCAAAAATTTCACTAAAATTAGTGCAGTAGTTCCGGAAATTTGTTCATTAAAACTGCCAACAGACAACAGACAGACGATAGACGACAGACAAACGGAAACAGTGCACCTACTTTTTCGTACTCTAGAAAATATGGAACGTCGAGAAAACATGAAATTGGCTGTTCACCGGGTGTAAGAAGCATCATATTTAAAAATATTCATAATTTGAAAAAAAAGGCTGCAGAGCCTAGAATTCTAGGATGCAATTTTTTTCCAGATGGTCTAGTTTTCTTCAACAATTTTATTTATTTTCAAAATTTTATGTATTTATTATTTTCTCCTGAAATATTTTTCTAGATTTTGAAAAAAAAAAATCAGAACTTTGAAAAATTGCTTTCGGAGCCCATAAATTTCTTTTTTTGGCTTTTATTTTCTTATGAAAAATAATCTGTACAATTTCCGAAAAAAATTAAGATTTTCGGAGTAAACTTCTACGTTTTGAGAAACAGAATAACCGATTTGAATTCTTAAGGTTTTAATATATTCTTGTAGAATTAAATTGTAAAATGTTTTGATTTTTTTCCAAAATTCTGGATGGCTAGAATAAAAAATCAGGCGGATTCATAAACCACAAGTATATTTTAAAGCATTTAAATAGTATTATTTATGCAAAATTTTGAGATGACGTTATCAAATTGTTGTTTGGATTAGACAAATTTTGGTTAGCGTTTTACCATTTAGACGATATTTTAAAAAAATGGACTACTTTGTTTTGAAAATTTGTTATATTTAGTGTTTTCTCCTGAAATATTTTTCTAGATTTTGAAAAAAAAAAATCAGAACTTTGAAAAATTGCTTTCGGAGCCCATAAATTTCTTTTTTTGGCTTTTATTTTCTTATGAAAAATAATCTGTACAATTTCCAAAAAAACTAAGATTTTCGGAGTAAACTTCAACGTTTTGAGAAACAGAATAACCGATTTGAATTCTTAAGGTTTTAATATATTCTTGTAGAATTAAATTGTAAAATGTTTTGATTTTTTTCCAAAATTCTGGATGGCTAGGATAAAAAATCAGGCGGATTCATAAACCACAAGTATATTTTAAAGCATTTAAATAATATTATTTATGCAAAATTTTGAGATGACGTTATCAAATTGTTGTTTGGATTAGACAAATTTTGGTTAGCGTTTTACCATTTAGACGATATTTTAAAAAAATGGACTACTTTGTTTTGAAAATTTGTTATATTTAGTGTTTTCTCCTGAAATATTTTTCTAGATTTGGAAAAAAATATATTCAAAACTTTGATATATTGCTTTCTGGGACCCAACATTTCTTTTTTTTTTAGACTTTCATTTTTTTGTGAGAAATAATCTGACATTTTCCGACGAAAACTAAACACCATCAACATTTTGAGAAACAGTTTGGAAATTTTAAGGTTTTAATATATTTTTGTAGAATTAAATTGTAAAATATTGTCACAATATACTGATTTTTTTTTAATTCTGGATGGCTAGGATAAAAAAATCAGGCGGATTCATAAACCACAAATATATTTTAAGCATTTAAATAGTATTAATTTGTTCAAAATTTTGAGATGACGACACCAAATTGTTGTTGGGGCTGATCAGACGATATTCTTTAAAAATTGACTACTTTGCTTCAATAATTTTATGTATTTTGAAAATTGTATTGAAAATTTTCTCCTGAAATATTTTTCTAGATTTAAAAAAAATCAAAACTTTGGTATATTGCTAAATTTCTTTCTTTTTAGACTTACGTTTTCTTGTGAGAAATAATCTGTACATTTTTCCAAGAAAAGTGAGATTTTCATAGCAAACATCAACGTTTTGAGAAACAAATTCTAAATTTTAAGGTTTTAATATATTTCTTGTAGAATTAAATTGTAAAATGTTGTCACAATATTTTGATTTTTTATTCCAAAAATCTCGATGGGTTGAATAAAAAATCAGGCGGATTCATAAACCACAAGTATATTTTAAAGCATTTAAATAGTACTCCTATTAATTATGCAAAATACCCATTTTCTTGTGAGAAATAACGTACACAGAAAAAAGTCGTGTAAATTTACAATTATTTTACTGTTGCTTTTTATGTATTTTTTTACTTAAATTTAGTAAATTTACGTAAGTTAGCAGCATTGTGCATAAAATAAGTAAACGTGTGTCACTATTTGTATTTTCACAAGTCAAATTGAAAAAACACAATACAGAATCGCAATTGTAAATGTATATTCACTTTATAAATGAATTATACTTTATAATACCGTAAATATACTAACATTTTTTACAATTACTTCCAACTTTGTAAAATAATCCAGTCTACCGGTGAAATCACATGCATACTGTGAATTGTTGATGCGCACGCAATCATTACTATAACACTTGCAGGTTATAACAAGTTGGAGTGCATTAGTTGTGGTAATATATTTTGTACAAAATAGTGTATTTTGTTGTTAAAGGTAAGTACTTTACTATTCTGGTTTACTATTTTCCTCCAGTTACAAAAGTACACTTTCCAGGCGGATAATTACTTACTATAATTTGCCCATGTCATCTTTAATTGTTATGTTAATGCAATTTTTATCACAGGGTGATGATATGAATAATTTAAATGAAATTATCAAGGTGGCTGCGCCATGTGTAATTGAAATAGGCAAGTATTTAAAACGTCTTTGTACCTATAACATTTTAATGTATTTTTGTATTTTTCTAGAGAGCGATCCACAAACAATTTATCACGTAGTTTTAGAACGACAAGTAGTGATTCCAAGTGTTGTCACTTTAAAAGATGCAGTATCTTGGGCGTTTGGATTATATTTTATAATGAATTTAGAATATCCAGACGAAGTATCAGCAGTTTTGGAAATGATGCAAAGATTTTTTTTGAAAATACATCCAGATCAAGGATCCAAATCAAAAAGAATAACACCAACAAAACGCAAAGTAATTGGCCTTATGAACAAATTAAATTAATGTAAAATATATACAACATCAATGACTTTGTTTTGTGTTTATGATTTTATTACATGTTTATTATGTTTTTCACCATAAAATAAAAGGTTCACTTTGTCCGACATAGTTTCTTTGATTAAAACTAGTACTAAAAATAACAATAATTTGTGTAAATTTACATATCAATTCACGGAAATTTACATACCAATTCACGGAAATTTACATACCCATTCACGGAAATTTACATATTTTATTGTAAATTTACAATCGTCAAAATTACATTTTACTTGTAATTTTACATGTTCTTTTGTAATTTCGATTTACATTCAAAAAGTAAATATCACATTCAAACTTAAAAATACATTTCGTTGGAATATTACCCTTATTATCTCGGGTTACAAATTACCTGTGATTTTCACAGTAAATTTACAAGTAAACTTTTTTCTGTGTACTTTTCTGAAGAAAAATAAGATTTTCGGAGCAAACATCACGTTTTGAGAAACAAATTCGAAAGTTTAAGATTTTAATACAATTCTTGTAAAAATTAATAAGAGATTTAAATATTTTGACTTTTTTCTCAAAATATTTTTTATTCCATAAAAATTAGTGCGATAATTTCGAAAATGAAGTATTTGTTTAATAAAATTGCCAATAATAGACAACAGACGACAGACAAACGGAAACGAAAGGCCTACTTTTTCATTCTCTAGGGATTAAGAAACGTCGAGAAAAGATAAACTTAGTCGTTCGCCGGGTATAAATGATTATATTTTTAAAAAAATATTCATAACTTTGAAAAAAACACTGACAAGTTTGGTATTTTACCTCAACAATGTAATCTCCATTTTGCCTATAATAGTTTTTTTATTTTCAAAATTGTCTATATTTATTGTTTTCTCCGGAAATAATCTTCCAGATTTTGAAAACAAAAACAACTTTCAAAACTTTGACGTATTTCTGGGAAAGACACGAAGTTTCTTTTTTCGGACTTTCATTTTCTAGTGAGGAATATTCTTTACATTTTCAAAAAAACTAAGAGTTTCAGAATAAACTAAGATTTTTTTTTTTTTTCAAAAAAGGAACACACTTATATCTAAAACAATCTTGAAGCATAAATAATCAAAATGATATCTGAAGATTTTACCTTTTACCGAGACAAATTTTCAACAAAATCAAGACGTTTGAAGATTTGAAGTTAGTATTTTAATTTATTTATCTTGTTATCTTAAAAAACATTCTATATAATGTTAGAGAAAAACTGCCACCTCAAGAAGGGAAAATTGAGAAAATGAGTAACAAAGCCTTAACATCTTCAACGATTTCAGGTGATTTCTTACGAAAAAAATCACGATTCTGAGATTCAAGAGTCAAGATGTTGAAATTTTATCTCAATATCTTTCACGTTTGTTTGAGAAAATGTCTGCAGACTTAAAATTATTTTAAAATTCTGATGCTGTTAAATCTGATAATTTGGAAACAAAAAGAGTTTCTTTTTCATTTTTCTTTTGTTTATTAAAACTTAAACAGAGTCCTATTTTTCTGAAAGTCGAAAAAATTATTTCTCTTATTCAATTTCCCGAAATTCATATTTTGTATGATTATTGTACAATTCACATATCAGAATCAGTGTATTTATCCCCAGCAGTAAGTCAATAAATGACGTTATTAAAAAAAATTGCTAAGTAAATTTTTATTGAAAAATCCATGTAAACAATGTCAAAAAAATCCCCGTCCTGGATTTGAACCCGGCTCAACTCATCCCGCCGCCGAATTCGCCATTGTTCACCTCGAGCGAGACCATGCAAATTCCTCCAATTACTCGAACGGTCCTCCCGTCGAAACGGTCGTCGAACACGCAAACCATTATGCTGTAATATTACTGTCAAACCCGCCGCCGTTGTCAATTTCGCCGTCGAAGAACCGGTACGCCGATCCGGCAACGCCGCCGACCGTGATCTTGGCATTCTTGCATTAGAAAAAGCCGCTTCCAGCCGCGGCAATCGCAAAATCGCTCCGAACCGTCGTTTTCCGCGCTCCGGCAACCTGCAGTCGCGGAGACCTCAACGGTGGCTGAAGCGACGAGCCACCCCGTGACCTTGAGGGGGCTTGCGCAACCGGGGGTGTTCGGCGCGAACAGGTAGCAGACGGACGCCGCTGTTGCCAATGCCAAGCGAGTTCGAATGGGCAACCTGGGTCGGCGCGCGGGGCGTAGCGGGGGACACAACGGTTCACATCGACTTTACTTCTTGCGGTCATCAGTCTTCACAAGGACTTGGTCGCAGCAGCACGTGAAACTGGAACCGATGTCTGAGGTGGTACCTTCAGCGTGACGCGTGTGCTCGAACTGTGTGTGTGCATGTATAGTGTCTCTTTGGGATTACTGATGACTTAAGGCCATGCCGAAGATTTTCTTAATCAAGAACCGGCTGCAGCGTCTGCTGGAGTCGGAAAATGGTGGTACCCACAAGAACGAGATCTTGGACGATGCGCAACCCTTGTCCCTCACCGTCCACAAGGAAGGTAAGATAAGGCAAGAGCGGTCGCTATCGCTCGTGACGCATCTAATGCGTCTTAATGGGTACTATCGCGGTACCGTTGGAGGAATGTCTAATCACCAAATTGGACACTTAGTCACTGGCAGGTGACAAGAGTTAACTGTGTTGTGTCTTCGGTGGCACGTAAACGCGGCTAATTGCGCTCGGATGGGACCGGTACTGCCCGTACCGGAGATTCGAGTGCGCCTCAGACGCGAAACCCAACTCACCCTGTCCTTGGAGGAAAAAATCAACCACCAGCTTCACGAACCATTACACGTTCCAAGGCCAGCCGAGCGTGTAATCCGAAAAGAACAATGCTCCATTATGCTCGCACATCGCTGGGGATCGAACAGCACACAAAACACCGTACCGCAACTTGCGCAACCTAACCTAACCAAGGTCAAGCGGTCCAACCGTTACCGAGCGGTGGTTGTTTTAACCGCGAGTTCAAGGCCGCCGTTTCTATTTCAATTACCTAACTCTTACCTCACGTAGAAAGTGTTCCCATGCCCGTGAGGACTTTCTCCGGTGATATAAGCGATCTTATCGCTTTCTGGGTCATTATCACGAGTAATTTCGTTCACCTACTTAGCGAGCCGGCACGTGGACGGAACGCCGCGCCGCGAAAACAAAAAGCACAAGGGCCTTCTCGCTTTCCACAGAACAAGTAGACCGTGAAATAATGCGGACCCTTTGTTGCGTGACCCACTTATCCAAAAACAAACCGAATCCACCTGTTGGGGACAAAATTGCGTCCTCAGACGAGAGTGCAAACAGTTTGGGACCCTGAAATCAATCCTGGTTCGCACAAATGTTTTTGGACACTTAACTGTCGGATAGAAAAACAAACTAAAAATTCGAGTACCTACCCCTGAAATGTATCCTCAGTCTTGTGTTTTTCTTCCAACAAATGTGCACCTGACCCAAAGTTATTGTTAAATCTGTAAAGTAAACCTATCGCTACTTGGAAGTGATTTCACTTTAACAATTAGGGTGGTTTATCCTTCCCTGCTATAAATATGTCCATCAAGACGACTGAATAGGTCTGAAGGACTAACTGATAAACCATCCTAACCGCAGTAAAGTCACTTCCAAATTGTATAAAGTTTGTCTAGAATTATAAGAATTTTAAGTTAATTCGTTTTACAGCCCTGTCAATTTTATTGTACGGCTGAAGAGCTGGGCGAACTCAGGTACAGAAAACATCGGCTTTCCCCTGACAGGCTCTTTACCTGTACAATAGAATTGAGGCCTGGACTGTAAAACGAATTAACGTTGGGAGTCCATAAAATTCTTATAATTCTGGACAAACTTTACAAGTCTTGTCTCTGACCCCGAATTCCCCATGTTGTAACTACACTCTCTCACTTATTAAAAATGAAATCCGATCCGCCTGTTGAAGTCGAAATTATCAAACTATTTCTCCTTACGACATTCCAGGCAAGTTATGTCGATTCCGGGCACCTGAACCTCGATGTTATCTCCTTCTACCACGAGTTCATCTCTGACCCCAAACTCCGCAATTTGCGATTTTTAAACCTTAATCATCACCAGAGCACATCCGGAGGCTCAAAAATGCCACAAATGCTTGAAATGCTGAAGTCGTGGAAAAGTTGCGCCGCAGCCGGATTGTGCAACCGAAATGACAAATGTTTCTCATCGAAAAATGGGCTAATAATGTTGTTTGGAAACGCTAGCCCACGAAAGCTGTCAAGTCTCCGTTATTTTTAAATATCACAGATCAAATTTGAATTTTGTCACATCTCATATCTCCAAGGCAATAAAACTGTGGCGCAAGAAGCTGGTAATAATCCTAGACTAGAAATTGACTAAGTTTCACAGCGTTATTTTTAATTTTTTATCTTTAATGAGGACGTAATTTCATGTCACAGACCGTTTTTATTTCTGCTATTTCCTGCGGAAACAACCGAAGTCAAGGTTTTTGGACAAAAGCGTGTAAATCTTTGGTCAACGAGCGACTTGTGTGATAAAGACAGTGAAGGTGTTTTGTGTTGTAAATGTGATTTACAATGGTAAATTTTTTGAGTGCACTAAACGCTGATTGTTATGGATTTTAAACGAGTATGACTAAGGTTAGAGAGAGAGAGAGAGGGAAAATATTTTACTGCGCCCATGACTTTCTGGTTATCAGGAGATAAAAACCACAACAAAACAGCAGATTTACCCTGGCTTTTCCACGCTTTGCATAGAACTATAATTACTCAGTGAAAATGTGTAAATTACCAAGGAATTTTTTTAATCTTTAAGTCGGCTCAAAAATATGTTTTTAAGCTACAAGATTCCAACTATAATAAACGAAAGCTATCATGGTTTAAAATTTGTTGCTCTGTGTACGTCCCGTTCGGCAATAAAAAGCGTTATTTATTTTGCAATAAAAATCTCATGTTTTTAAATTGTAATACCGTTTTAAAAACAATACATAAAAGCAAAATAAAACGAACAACAAGGTAATGAACTTTAAATGCGAAATATTTAAATTTGGAATGAAAGGACCCGTAAATCCGCGAATATCCTTCAAAAAAGTTTACTTATATATAGCATATCCACGAAAATAGTGGTTTTGACGCTTTGACTATTCAAACCCCTATTCTCGTTGGATGATTATAAAGATATAACATAACATAAATATTATTATATGTTAAAGAGAAGTGGCAAACAATTGTACGAGTATTTAGATATAATAGATACAAAACAGTCGTCTACTACTGAATAGTAAGGAAGTTGCGTTAACTTTTAATGGTCTAGTCCGACGTGCCCGGACTCTAAATGACATTTCATAAGCTGTTTTCGTCGTGTTTCATTAACAATAAATGCGAAAATCAAATAAGAAAACGTCTGGATCTGATAACATTCGCACCGTGAACAGACCAAAACTGTCATTTATGCATACTTAAGCCAGTATTCTTCAGCCTCCGCCTCCTCAGTCATTGTTGTCCCGACAAATTCTTCCATTTATTTCTTTCCAACGGCAATTTTATAGCCCATTTGAGCTTCTTCGCCAACAGCAATACCTTCATAACCATAAAGCAGCTCTCCTTTTTATGGCATACTTACCGTCTGGGGGCGACTAGCCGCCACAAAAACGCAAATTACCTTTTCACCTGAACTTTCACAGCAAAGGGTAAACACATGTCGGAGCCACAACCAGTTCCGTTGTCCATTATTTCGGCTCTAAAACAAATGATAACATCCGAGGCCATCGGAGTAATGGCCGCTTTAAAAAATGAACGCGTACTGTTGTAATCACCAATTCAACAGGTGAGATAAATCAGAGACGGATTAACAAGACATTAGAATAAAGGAATTCGATTAACCTTGCGGCCGGTGAGAGCAGCGTGAGAGGGTCTTTCGCCATCGATGGAAAATTTCGTCGGCGTAACCTAGGAAATTGCATTCTCGCCAAAAAAAAAAAAAAAAAAAACAATCTGAACTGGACAAAAGTGTCAGGTGCTTGAGGTTGTCAGAGAGAGGCTTTAACGGTTATATAATTGTAGCAAAATTGGCTAATTTGCTGGCTGTTATGGCTAACGAGGTGCTAATAAGCTCTGGCACCGATTTCTTGCGTTGTCTGTTTTGGTTTTGCGCGTTTTTCCTCGTTACGTCGGGATTTCATGCCCTTTTATGAGGTTTATTAAACGCCCGAGGCCTCGTGTGTGCTATCCTATCCATATGAAAAATCGTTGCCTTTTTCGCCTGGTCGGTTCTATCTGCGCCAAGCCGGCTCGCATCGAGCTTGGCGAACCCATAAATAATTAATAAATCCTCGAACAATTCCTAATAAATCAAATCTGCCTTTATTAAGCGAGTTGCTCGAAGCTCACTTTTTGTTGTTCTCATGGCTAAGCGACTCGCTCTTTATTGTAATTTTTCGAAACCGACCGTAAAAGTGATGATGATGATAATGGCATTGAACTGTCTTCTTCGGGCGATTTGTTGTAAGCAGGCAGGAAATCTGATTCGATCGTAAAAAACACAGCGGTTGGTTATGGTAATTTTTTCTCGTTTGTATTGAAATCGATGCAATCATGTCGGACTACTTTCTGTTTTCGATTACAATTCGGAATAGATGTTTCACGGACGTCGCGTCAGAATAAAAATCACGCAGACGTGGATATGTTTCCTGAATCAAATTTACATTTGGTTATATAATTCTGTTGATAAAACTCGTTGTAACGGATTTTTAGTTCTGTCAAGGTTCGCAACGTTTTCGACTACTGTGGGTCGTCGAACGCGCGCTAGAAGGACACTTTTTTTAGCACCGACGAGTGTTTATTCGTTAATTAACGACAGAAAAAACCGTGAAGTCATAATATTATTGTAGCGAAAAGCAAGCAGCATTGTCGCAACACGTGGGCGATTTTGCGACAGCGACGGTGTGGATTTTCATCCCCGAGAAACGACCAGTCCCACCCAGAGTGCGTGACGCACCACCAAAATTTTCTTTGACGAGCTTAAAACTACATTCCTCCAACAAACAAAAACATTCCGTTCGATAATGATACGCCACTGACCGTCAGACGTATCACTAATAATTAAACCACACGTCGTTATCCCATCGCAATTCCACCAAACCGTGTTCTTAACCTTGACTTTTCTCGTCCTCTACTCACCGTAATTAAACAAAACAATCATCTTTAACGGTAAAACAATACGGATTTCATGATGCGGCAGCTCGTCGTAATAATAAACCCGATAAAAATTCTTCCAGCCCTTGCACCGCTCCCCTCGGACCGGTTATGCCCTGCAGGTGGCGTGAAGAGGGTCCCTGTTGACCTTCGGTCAAACAAGGGCTGGCTAGAGACGGTGACGTCACCCAATAACGAGACTTAAGCCACTTATCTTTGACTTTGACGCATTGTTTGAACCTGTGCTTTACCGGAGCGGCTAATTATGCCCACGAGTCTGATGCTTGGAGTGACGAGTCTGCCACCTATCGGTACTTGTTACACTTGATGAGGTTATAATGAATGGGACGTAAAGGTCGAGAAGGTGCGATTTATGCCGTCGGCGTGATTACTTTTTTATTTAATTGCGAGACGAAGATTTCATTCTTGGTGTGATGATCAGATAATTCGAAAAAAATTACAAGCAAACAATATTAGTCTAGCATGAAATTATGTTGTTGCCAGGCTGGTCGTGAAAGAAATTGAGATGGGTTTACATCACGTGGGTTATGCGTGCTGGGTATGCCAGACATGTAAAAGGAACAAGGATGAGGGGACTGAGTGCAGGACATGAGTCCTTGCATTCCCTTTTCAGACCGCTCAACTCTATTCGGGTCATGAAGCCATTTTTATTTCTTTGTTGTCCTCTCATTTAGTCCACGTGTGCGTCTGAGTTGTTATGCTCCAGCGAATAGACTTTGACAGGTGAAGCTATCTACATTTCTATAGTTTAACTCTGCACTATGCTTTGTTTTCTTTCGCAACTTTACCTTAAATTAATTGTCTCGAGGCCTTGAGCCAACCCCTTATCTGTGCTTTTTCGTCGCAACTGAGGCAACTTGTGGTCCAGACTTCGAAACCCGACAAGGTCTCAGTCCCATTGCCAGCCATTCCTCACGCTTATCCGTCGTCAAGATCTGAAGGCTTTCGGACTCTCTCACTTTTCATTTTCTCCAAAGTCACTCTCTTTTTTCGTCCGCCTTTAATGGACCGCTAAATACCTTGATGATAAAACAAATTACGTGCGATTTGTTCCAGTCCGGTCGCACCCATTTTCGGCGCGAACTTCCCAAACCCGAATCGATCCCACAATCTCGCCATCGTCACGTCATGTTTATGAATAAGATGCTAATTAACGCGTGTGAATGACCACGAATTCCGTTTCAGATCGAGACAAGCAGTCCGAAGAGGATGGCAAAGGCAAGCCCACCACATCCAAATCTCCGAAGAAAGAATCGACGCCGCCCAGGCGGTTCACGTCGTCGATTTTGGGCGGCGACGTCCCTTATGGCAGCCGCGGGCACGTCCTCACCCGGGCGGAGCGAAAGGAGTACGCCCCGATCGTGCCCCCGGACAAAATCACCCTTCCGGTGAAGAAGCCGCCCGAGGACGCCCCGAAGCCGCAGAATCTAGCGCCGGTGCGGCAATTTTCCGTGATCCAGCGCACCCCCAAAGCCACCAAGAGGGATGAGGATAAGGAGGCGCGACTCCCGACGGCGCCGCTGGTCATGCAAGAGCCCGAGCAGGAGCAGCCTATCGACTATCACATCCCGAAAAGGAAAGGGGAGACGGAGGACGAGAACGAGGAGAGGAGGCTCCGGGAGCAGAGGCGGAGCCACTGCTCGAAAGTGAGCAAACCGCTGATTTCCGTGCGCGCGATAGTGGGGAAGTTTCCGGTGACAATGTCCGCGGCGGCGGGGCACGGGCGGGGCTCGGGTGGCAATCAGAGTTCGGCTAATCAATCGGCGAACTCGACGTCGGGAGGAGGGGGCGGAGTTAACTTTACGGGCGGGTCGACGGGTGGCAGTTCTGGGGGGACTTTGGGTGGCGGGACAGGAGGTGGCGGTATGAATCCGGGGCGGGACGGGAGACAGAATTACGGACCGAGCAGTCCCCCGACTGGGAGTTTACCCCCGTTCTACGAGTCCCTTAAAGGTGGGAATAACGGGAATTCGTACAACGCGAGTGGGAATTTTTCGTCGAATTATTTGGTGAATAACCAAAACATGGAATGTGATACGGGACAGGAACTTGCCAATTTGAGTCTGAACGGGGGGCAGAGCCCTCCGAAGCAGTACTCGACGTTGCAGAATGCGTCGTATGGGATCGTTATGAAGGACGAAGCGGATTTGGACTTGTACGAGACTAAGATCGATGCAATGAATCAGTTGCTTCCGGGGTCGTATTCTGGGTATGACGATTCGATGATGGTGGACATGGTGACGGGGGCCGTCGTGGACCCGCTGCAGTTCACGGCGACCTTAACCTTCTCCAGTTCGGCGGAGCACGCCCTTCTGGAGAGTCTATCGGACGCGGCTGACCTTTCCACCTTCCTCCAACGCCTCCCTAGTGAAGAAAACGACAACGAAGAAATCATCACGAGTAACATCCACTCCCCTTCGATGACGTCCGACTCTTCACAAATCCAGCAAGTCGACCAGAACCTGGACTCCTTCAACGATCAAATTCTCAGCAATCGCGGCTACGAGGGTCGCAACTACAACCACCAATTCTCGAAAATGTACAGCGAATCCCTCCCCAACTACCAGTCTTCGGTGAACAACGAATCCCTCCAAGCTCAGATGCACCAGCAGCAGCAACAACAAATGCTGTCGCCGACGCTGAGTTTCAACGGCAGCGGCTTAGACTTGGACTCGCCGACGACGATGTCGCTGCCGTCTCCCGGGGCGGCGAGCTGCTCCCTCGACGCCCCACACAACGACGGCGGCTCGATCAGCCCACCAGCGAATGTGAGTGGTCGACGTACCAGCAGCGGCAGCGAGGCGCCTGCCCTGCACGGCAGGGTAAACGTCTTGCAGCACAGGGTAAGCTTCCTTGATGCAGGCAAACGCTCTCACTTCCGCCGGAGCAAACCCATCGCAGCCCCATGCTCCTGCGATGGGTTCGCCTCCGCCCACAGCACTGCCCTATTCAATGCGAATGCTATCCCGACATCAAAGTCACTCGTTCCACGTTCAGTTGGTGTTACAGTTGGGCCTGCCCTCCGAGGTGCAGCTGGAGTTCGTTAACGGCGGCCACGGAATCAAAAACCCCCTCGCCAATCAGGAGACCGTGCGGCAGGGGCCGCGGACTGAAGACAAAACCAAAGTAGCGTCCATTACGACGGAAGATGGCCAGACCAACTTCTGCTGTCGGATCTGCAACAAGACCTTCGCGCTGCAGCGCCTCCTCAACAGGCACATGAAGTGCCACTCGGACGTCAAGCGGTACTTGTGCACCTTCTGCGGGAAGGGCTTCAATGACACGTTCGACCTGAAGCGGCACACGAGGACGCACACGGGTAAGTAGAAAAAAACATGACTTACTAGATACTAGATATTGTCCGAGGAAATTAGTTATACAAAATAAATGGTTGTGGGTTATGTTATCGTGTAACTGTCTTGATATTTATAGTCACATAGGGCTGTAAATTATCATGTTTTCCAACAAAACAGAAAGTCAATGTCCATTTTTTAGTCGTCTTGAATATATATGTATTTCTTTAAATAGCGAGTATTAAATATTACGTTACATATGAATACATTTTATAGACCCGCCACTGACCCGGAAGTGAGCGGCAATCAGGCAAGACTAGTACCACTACGGGTACTAAGACCAAGTAATGATATGCAATGATGATGATTTATTATTTATAATTTATATAAAAATTATTTATAAATTATGGTTGTTATTATTACTGTGGTGGTTTCAGGGGTGCGGCCGTACAAATGCAGTCTCTGCGAGAAGTCGTTCACCCAAAGATGTTCGCTGGAGTCGCACTGTCTGAAGGTGCACGGAGTGCAGCACCAGTACGCGTACAAAGAGCGGCGGACCAAAGTGTACGTGTGCGAGGAGTGCGGCCACACGACGAGCGAGCCCGAAGTTCACTACCTTCACTTGAAAGAGAAGCACCCTTACAGTCCTGCCCTGCTCAAATTCTACGACAAGCGACATTTCAAGTTCACGAATTCGAATTTCGCAAACATGCTGCTGCAAGTACGTACCTAATTTTTTTATTTGTTTTTTATTTATTTATTTATTAACGTGAGAGGAAAACCGTCCGATTAGGCTGCAATCTATCCGAAAAAATGGGTCTCTGTTGTTTTGTTTTTGTTTATTGAATTTTTAATTGGGAGACGAACTCTTCTCTTCTTTCTGTGATAATAAATTTAATCCTTTCTCACTTTACATTATTGTAGTAATTATCAAGTTATCTGCAGGAATCGAAGATTAGATGAAAGGTAATAAAACGGAGGCGATGCCGCAAATAATGTCGCGGGACAATATTTAAATCGGGTTATTTGTGCAATCAGGTGGATGGAACTGGGTTTATTATTACATAAGTGTAGGATAGTTAAATGAACTGTGTCAGAGGGGACGTAGTTAGAATTTAGAAATGTGCAAATTTTGCGGGACGAAATTCTTAACAAGACTAATTTTGACGCAAACTTTGAAATTTGGTGATTTGGGGTGTGGTTCTTTCTGAACTTTAACACGTCCCCGACCATTCTGGTGCTTCATAGGGTATGACTAAACTATGGTGCTGCAGAATGCTTTCGTAGCTTAAGGTGTGTTGTGATTATTTTTTTCGCGCTGTCCCTAAAAAAATTGATTACAACGAATCATTCTGCAATGTTTTTTGTACTTTAGTCTTTATTTCTTCTGTTGAAAGAGAACTTGTGTTTATATTGTATGAATGTTTATAGTTTTGTATATAAAAAATATTTAGGTTTTATCTACCTTAAGTACCTTTATCTATAGTTGAACATCAGTTCAACATTGTTAGTCTGTACAATTTATTTAATTTTTTTTTAACCTTTTTTGCCAGTGTACCTACAAAATGTTGAATTGATTATTACATTTATTTATCTCTTCATTTTACATCACAGTATTTTTGATGACTTCTCATAGATGTTTAGTCCCTTATTTAATTAACCCAGACTGTATCGAACTGAGTACGTAAAGCTTTGTTTTTTATTAAAAAAATAAAACATACAATAATATTATTAGCTTTAACACTGAAGGACAATTTAAATTTATACGTAATAACTTTGTATTTATAAACTTCACAATGAAATATTGTATTTGTAGAACAAAATATGTAATTTTTCCTAATGTTGTTATACAAATAAATTATACGGAAAAACGATGTTTTACTTACTATGTGTGTACCAGTGTACAGTCAAAAATACTTTTAAACAACATCCCGTCGAAGTTCTTTTACGCGTTCAATTTTATTGTGCAAGCTTGGATGCTCGCTTTATAGGCACGTGATCACTCTATCTGTTCGGCAAACGGATAGTGTCTAAACACATACAGCTCTCCTACACACAGCTCTGAGTATCTGACCCAGTTGAACCGCCGTTTGATGACGATCTACAGCGTTGAAAATCCATCGTCTTTTAGAGGCAGGGTGAATCTGGATTTCGGAAGTACCTGTGTTTTAAGTAGAGTAAGTCTCTTAGATATTTAATTAACCCAGACTGTACCGAACTGAATAAGTAAGCTTTGTTTTTTATTAAAAAAATAAAACATACAATAATGTATTAGCTTTAACACTGATGGACAATATAAATTTATTTGTAATAACTTTGTATTCTTACAATTCTCAATGAAATATTGTATTTGTAGAACAAAATATGTAAGTTTCTCCTAAAGTTGTATAAATAAATACGACGTTTCACTTACTACGGGGAACCCTTTCGTTACACAGTGATTCCAGCGCGCATGCGCGACGAATTGTCCACTTTTTTATTCGAATGGGTGACATTTCCAGTGTTCGATCTTTTAACGGGAACATGTTGTTCCAACTAAAAAACAAACAATAGAACAATTATCACCCTCTATATTTAATAAAACTCACTTGTTTATCGATGGCCCTGAACTGCCACGACCAATTCGCCCTATACAAAAACGGCCGATGGTCATACCTATTATCATCAGGACTATACTTCTCGGCGTGATACGCAGGCGTCAACACCGTCATCTTGTGTCTATTAATAGCATAACATCTACAAAAAGAAATCAACACCGCTTCAAACCCTCCATTTCCCACTAATCACCTGAAAAAATGCTTCACTTTCTCTGCGACTTCCCTAGGACTGCAACTCCCGCTCCACGTTTGAACCAATTTACAATACATCGAAAACGGCCCACACTTCTCGATTTTTCTCAACTTCCCGAACTGGCTCAACTCCGCGTACGTCATCCCCATGTCCTCCTCGTCGGTTTGCGCCAACCTCCCGTCTTGCAGCGGCTCCAACTCCGCAGTTGGAGGTGCATCCACGATGTCTCCAATCACGGGGATGTTAAACTGCGCCTTCGCGTAATTAAGGAACCTCCTCAAGTCGGTTTTAGAGATCCCCCCGATGGGGTTGATATCGGCGCTGGAACAATCATACTTCGTCATGTACCCTCTGAGCGCCTCGTCCACGTTGGCAGACCCCAGAACCAACAACCCTCCAGGTCGGTTCCTGGCCCAGAGCATCAACTGGGCGAAAAGGTACGACAGCACCATTCGCAAACGTGCCTGGATGTTTTGTAAGGCAACGTTTTGGCGCGGACAACCCCCATTGACGGCAAATTTGGGGAAAAGGCCAGTCACGCCGCTGAATATTTCAATAATGGCAGTGATTGCTTTGTCTATGACGATGTGCATGTGGTAACTACCGATGGAGGCGGCGAGGGCGGCAGCCCTTTGTTTGGTTTCTTTGGAGGAGTTTTCGGTACCCATGTAACAGGTCACGAGGATTCTGTTACACAAGTCGGACGGCGTGCGAGGGGTGTATTCCGGGTCGCCGAGGAGGCGGCGCACGTCGGAGAGAACCGTGGTGTCTGGAAATTGAGCCAATTCGATTCTTTAACAAAAGTTCGAACATTCTTTTTAAATTGAATGTACATGTTATGTCATACTATTTTGTTCATCCTGAACAAAAAAATCCCTAGTTATAGTTATAAACAATAATGCGATATGCATCTAGAAAGCTGTGCGTATGACATTTCCAAGTTAAAAATAATAAAAGAATGCATCAATACGCAAATTTGGGTTTACAAACGATTCGCCTTTTTGTAATTTAATTAGTTAGCACATTTGAGGTTATGTTTACCTACCTCCTCTTTGAACGGTATCAACCACCATTCTACACATGGAAAAAACGATAATGGCAACACTGGAGGAGTCAACACCCCCACTTAGGGGTAGGAAAAAGCCACCTTGACCAGACCTCCTCAAATAATCCCATAACCAACAAGCCGGACCTTTAGCTATTTCTTCCTCAGGTTTCAAGTACGCCCACTCTATTGAGCTTGCAATGGGAAGCGTAGCATCTTGTTCCAAGGACAAGGAAAAATCTATCACTACTCTGGGATAACTGGGGCTCTGGGCCGCCAAATGCGCGAAAGATCGAATTTGATTACGGTAGGCTCTAATGTCTTCCAAATCAATAGTTGCAGCCGTGACTTCCTAAACAAAAAAAATAAATAAATAAATAAAATTTGCACTAGCATTACAGACACAACTTACTACATCCTGTAACGAAAATTGTTTTGCCCTACTAAGAATGCTTCCATTAAGTGCAATGCATGAACAGCCCCCGAAATAAACCCTCTGCCCATCACAGCCCCTCATATTACTGAAAATGTAGCACCCTCCAGCTTTAAGAGTGGCACTCTTGACTAGCTCCACAGAAACGTAGGCTTTGCGCAGCTCTGCATAACTCCCTGAGCTGTTACAAATAATTTCCACCCCATCCAGAGCCATACTGATGTGAGTGCTAGCCGGACTCCACAATTCCTCGCAAATCTCAAACCCTATACACGTGTCCCTTGTCGAAATAACCGCGTCTCCAAATGGCACCGTTGTTTGACCAGTGAACTTCGAGATCATTCTAGGCAAAAAATAATCCTCTGTCTGCCGGACTTTGCTCCAAGCGGAAAACCAGCGCGACTCTCTGTAATTGCCGTCGTCGCACATTCTCATTTTAGGTCTAATTACAAGAATTTTTTGGTTGAGGAAGACGACACGGCAATTGTAGGCTACGTTTTTGTGCATTACAGGCATTCCAACGTCGATTATCATGTCCTTGCATAAGGGGGCTGTCAGTAGTTCTAGCAACACCTCCCAGCAATGCAGGAACGTGTCGCTTTCGTAGAAATGGTCCTCGCAGCTGTAGCCGCTAAAATTCGATTTAATGGTTATAATTGAAAGGGTGATCTAACCTCACATTTACCATATTTCTAACTCCGGGCCTGTACGAAACGTCGCCCCCAAATCTTTCGCTTCTAGGATTGATTCCAGGATTCTTTCGCGGTTCCCGTCGAAATCTAGCGCCCACTGGTTGAGGGTGGCGCACGCCAGGGTGACTTTCCGCCCCATGGTGTTAATCTCGCACTGTCAAAGTCAAATAAAAGCAATTAGTGCGCAATCATCGTGTTATAATTTCAGTAATACAAGATTATTCTGATAAGGTTTTGTTTGTTCAATACTCGCATTGATTAAATACATATGTATTTAATCAATGATACTCGTTTCCAGCGGACATTTTGAATTTTTTGAATTTCGGCCGACGCGCATTCTGGTGCGCATGTTTATTCACTTCCGGGTTTTTTTGAAAAATGGAAAATCGAAAACGTGGCCTACTGTTTTTACGGGCGTGGGTTATGATTGGCTGCATGACTGCGGCCAATGAAATAAAATACGTCTGGTGAAACATGCAAGGAATTTTAATTGTTTGAAAAAATTTAAATCTCTGCAGAAATGGTATAAAAGAGGTCAATGAAACGTTTAGATGGCACCGCCAAGCTCCATCGCATGATTTACATGTCAACAATATGATTTTCATGTCTCTTTCCACTTTATCGGAGTGTTTAGTACAAAAACATAATTAAAGTGTCAGAGGAATAAGTTTTCTTGTTTAAAGAAGAAAACTTGTTTGTTTCTTTGGGAATAAGTCACGAAGGGGGGGGAAAATTACGTGGTAATAGTGAGAGGAGGCGGTTGACAGATGAACAAAGTAGCTGTTTTTGTTTTGCGAATAAATCGGACAGGTTGCCTTGCGGGCGGATGGTCATAATTCATGGGTTATTTTTGGGACGCGCCGAGCAGTGGCGTAGGTAGCGGAAATCTGGGCACTGTTTCCGGTATTCTGCACATTTTTTTTAAATCTGATATATTTAGCTTGTGTCGGACTGCAGCAATCGTTCTGATTAAATTTTATTTTGTATGGTTAAGTATGTCCAAAATTGGGGGCAGCGGAGTCCCAAAATGATGACGGTGATGAAACTGACTTTTTTTGTTCTTTTGCAAACAGTTTTAGGACTTTGTAATAAGTTCGAAAAAATGATACAAACAAAGAAAATCAGGAACAGACGACAGATGACGAGAAAATCTGAAAATAATCATTCGCCAAATGAACCCGAAGCTTAAGACTACTTTGAAATTTTTTCGACGTTCCATAGAATGGGAAAAATAGGTTATAGTTTTGGGTTTGGAAATCAGAAATGTACTTTGTTAAATAAATATTGAAACTTCAGGTACTCTTTGCACCGTTATTTTCTGACCACCTATACAGTGTATCTTTTTTAAAAGTGGCCCTAGGGATTCCCATGTGTAAATTTTATACCCCGTGTTGACTTATGTTTGAGCAAAGATTCAAAGTTGAAATTTTTATTGGGTGTAATTTGGGTCCTCTTTTGTCGATTTTATTAAAGGACACGCTTTAAATTGAAGGATATTTCTTAAAAAAAATAAAATATTTGGGTATTTTTGTCTGTAATATTGTAGGCAGCCATGTAAATGTAGACATTTACCTGACGTTTCTAAAATTTCTTTACTCGTTCGATTACTAGTTTTAGTGACCGAAATTCGTCAATATGTCGCAGTACACAATTAAAGAAAAATTGGTCTAAAGAGTTTAGACAGTACTTCTCTCGCTGTCGGAAACTTGACGACTGCATGCCTATTGTGTTTTTTTTCTCATTACATTTTTGTAGTGGGAATTTAAAAAAAATTGCGATGACGTCATCAACATTTTTGCAAGGACACGTTTATCAGTTGGGATAGATGTAGTGTAATACTAAGAATAAAATTATTGTATTCCCAAATTTTCGGGAAAATGAATTGGATCGTTTTGAATATTGATTTGTTATAATCAATAAAATAACGAAACAATTTACTCACGTATACGGCGCCGGTGTGTAATATGAGAGGCAACTGAAAATCGTTTATGTATAAACATTCTTAATTTAAGATGACAAGCGTAACAGCATACGTGAGAGTCAAACAGAGAAACTGTAAACAAAACGACCATAGGTTTTATTGCTTCGACTTCCGCTTATTATATAAAAGATTGGGTTTTATTTTAATTTTTGACGGTGGAATTCACAATTGGTTGATTATAAACATGTCTATTCCGCATTCGCGGAACCTAGTGAGCGCATAAAACAAATGCACGTCTGTAATGTTAAAGTCGATGTAAATAAGCGTGCTATCCTTATTTTTCAACCGAGTTTTTACTTTAAAAAATTTTGTGTCTACCAAATTGGGTTGGTCCAATGTAATACTAATAATAAGTGTTACCTTTAATTTAATCAATAAAATAAATTGACTTCATTAATTTTTTTGAGCCACCTCTTAAGAAAATCTAAAAAATATGAATGGAATGATAAATCACAAGTACAAACTCATCATATTTTTTGCATTTTAGATAGGATTTATTCAGCAAAATTTAAGGGTGACGTCATCAATTTTTTTAGGAGAGATGAACAAATACATTTTGAACAAAAGTTTACTATGCTTATAATAACTTTAAAATATCTCCAAGATTTCAAAGCATTCGGTTTTGTAATTCCTGATTAAATCGATAAAATAAATTCACGCATTCATTAATTTTTTTGAGTCACCCTGCATATGCAAATCCAAAAATATGAATGGAATGATAAATCACGAGTACAGACTCATCATATTTTGTACATTTTAGATAGGATTTATTCAGCAAAATTTTGGGGTGACATCATCAATTTTTTAGGGGGGATGAGCAAATACATTTTGATAAAAAATTTACCATGCTTATAAGAACTTTAAAACATCTCCAAGATTTCAAAGCATTCGGTTCTGTAAATCCTGATTAAACCAATAAAATAAATTGACGCATTCATTAATTTTTTTCAGTCACCCTGTATATGCAAATCGAAAAAATTTGAATGGAATCACAAGAAGAGACTCACCATATTTTGTACATTTTAGATAGGATTTATTCAGCAAAATTTTGTGGTGACGTCATAAATGTTTTAGGAGGGACGACCAAATACATTTTGATCAAAAATTTACCATGCTTTTGATAATTTTAAAACATCTTCAAGATTTTAAAGCATTCGGTTTTGTAGTTCCTGAGTAAATCAGTAAAATAAATTTTGCGCATTCATTAATTTTTTTGAGTCACCCTGTATATGCAAATCCAAAAAATTTGAATGGGGTGATATATCACAAGTACAGACGCATCATATTTTGTACATTTTAGATAGGATTTATTCGGCAAACTTTTGAGCTGACGTCATCAGGTTTTTGGAGGGGATAACCAAATATATTTTGACTAAAGATTTGTGATGCTCTTTATAGCCTAAAAACATCTGCAACATTTCAAAATATTCGGGTTAGCAGATTAAAATTAAATTGCAAAATGTTGTTTTATAATTTTGATTTCTTTTCCAAAAATCTGGACGTTTCGGGTAAAAACTGAATTCGGAGTCGTAAACTACATGTGTAGGACTATTATTTTATACAATTTAAGACCCATTTACTATGTACAATTTTGAAGTGACGTCATCGCATTAGTGGTGGGGATGATTAGACAAATTTTGGTTAGCGTTTTACCATCTACATGATATTCCTAATATAAGTACAAAATTTCACAACAATCGGTCCAGTACTTTCGGAGATTATCTGTCTAATAAAAATCCGGGACGGCAGACAGACGGACAGACAGACGGACAGACGGACAGACGGACAGACGGATAGACGGACAGACATACGGAAATGGGAGACATATTTCTTCGTATTCTAGGGGTCATGAAAGATCGAGAAAACGTAAAAGCAGAGAGTCGGCCGACGAACTCGATTACAATACTTCCTTTGCTTACGCTCGGGAAGTAAAAAGTGGAAATACTCACTGATGGATACATTAAGGGCTTATCGACAACAGAGAAATTGCGCAAAATTTTGCTGCAGCATACCCACATCGTCCTATACCCGGCAGGAGCACAATCTAAAAATTTTATGACAGATTTACAAACACAGATTTTCTTGATCGTGGACATCAAACACGCATTTTCAGTGAAATTTTCTTTTATTTCCTTCATTTATGTTTGAATTCCATCATTCTGTTTCTTTTCTAAAAACTCCAATAAAGGTATTTAATGGCTAAATTAAAATTATGCTGTCGAAAAGGACACATTGAAGTGATAAGTCGAAATCTTCTATGATTACCAAAATTTTTTGAAGCACAAATTAATAATCTACTGCAAAAAGTGGTAGTGGAAATTAAAGTAGAACCCTAAGGCTATTTTCACCGAAAAAATCACGTCTGGGTTTTCACCCTAACAAAAGTTAACATGGGGTCTAATATTTAACATGGGAATCCCTATGGCCCCTTTTAAAAAAATGCACTGTATATTTGAATGATGAATTCTAATACAACTTTTTACTTCATTGTTTTGGAGTTTTAACTCCTTTCTTTTCGTATTATAGAACACCTATACGACCCGTGCCGGTTCGACACCGACACCGACACCGGTCTGAACTGAGTCTGAACATAACTGTAACGCGCTATATTTTCGTACAATTGTTTACTCTTTATCTAGCAAAGAGGACACAAAACCAAAGGTCTGGGTTTGGAGTCCCGAATAGATCTAAACAATTGGTCCCGGCGTAGCCTGACATGAAGCTATTAAGTATTTACTTTACTATCCAACAAATTAAAAGCAGCAAATTATAAAGTTTTGTTCGCGCTTCATAGCCGTCCCATTTAATTCATCCAGAGGTTTTCGTGTAAAAACAGTTTTCCCTGGAGCAAATATTGATGTCTGTGGTTCTTTTCCTTTCCGAGTTTGTCTCGCCGCCCCTGTCAATTGATTTACAAAAGCCGGTGTTGTCGTCTCCTCCCAAAATGAGCGTAACCTTCCATCATAATAGTAAATTATTTATAGAGATTAGGCAAAAGTGCGAATCCACTCGTCCAATAATTCAGTTCCAAGAATCCATCCCAACGCGAAGTTCCCTGAAAGAAAGGCGGAGAAAAGTCAGCGCGAACCTATCGATCCCTCCATCCCCATGGAAATGTGAAGTTTACCCCCGACGTCCAACTGTCAACTTTCACAGTCTGACAGACGGTGAGAGATGGAGTGCAGCTGATCGTGGATTTTCCGAACCAGAATGGAATCGGAAAATGAAAGCAGCAAAGGTGAGCGAACTGCCCTGATCCGATCACCACAACACTGTGTCAAATCATGCACGGCTTATTGAGCTTGTTATGAGTTGTTTTGGACACCTGTTTCCGATATGTTGGCCCTGGCGCGGTCGGAGGCGAGCCAGCAGGAGCGGTGCCAAAGAGACCGGAAGCTTATGCACATTAATCAACCGACTTTCCCTTTTTTCGGTCGAAAGTAAAGGTTCGTCCTTTAGGGCTAGGCAGTGCAAGCCCTCGCTCGATACCCACTTTCTCCACGATTGCAAGAATGCCTCCCGGAGTTCCTCGCATGCAAGTCCGCCGCTTCTTGGCACCGACCCACCATTGTTCTCTTGACCTTTACATGCCAAGCGGAAAGAGAAAATAACCAAGTGCAAACCTGTCATTTTTTGCCTTCCACCTTGGCCCCGATCAATCTCCGAGTTCTATTTTTGCCATTGTCTGTCGAAGAATCGGGTTATTAATAACCGTCTGAATCGATACCACTTTGCAAAAACTAATTTCGCCTCGCGTGCAAACAATGTTATTTTTAAAATGCAACTTCTGGCACTTTGTTCCGCAGACGTGACAGTTCGAGATTTACAAGCCTCACTCTTCCCGCCGACTCCCAAAACTGCCACCAGCTTCTTCTCTAACTTTTACCTCAAGACGAACTTCGACGACGACCTTACCGATGACGGCATCAAAAAGGAAGCCCCCCAGAGGGAGCTGTTCTCTTTGAGCCGGGAGAGCAACTTTGTGCCTCAGCCGCCGCGATGGCCCACAGAGTGCCAAGTTCTGGAGGACAAAATCACACATATCTCTTACTTGCCGCCGACTCCGGAGCCCTACTATGTTCCCACGGGCAAAGAGCCTCAGCCCAAACCCACGGGGGACGAGTGCGGGATCATTGTGTACCAGTACACCCCGATTAGCGCCGTTAACTATGTAAGGAGCTAAATTAACCACTTCTTGGTCTTGGTGATCCTGGCTTGTTGGCGAAAATTGTACAGTGTGTTATTTTCAATTTAGTTTAGCAGGTCTAGTGTTGGAGGTAGCAGGTACCTTCTCCCGGCTTGTCTGTGTCCGGAAGAAGACAGCCTTCGGTTTGAGTCGAGGTTCGAAAGCGGTAATTTGGCTAGGGCTATCCGCATCACCCCCAACTTCTACGAATTGTACCTGCGTGCTGACATGTACACCAACCGGCACATGCAATGGTTCTACTTCCGGATCACCAACATGCGGAAGAACTTCCTATACAGGTAAACCCCTCGAGAGGTCCTTCTGTCTTGACTGACCTTTGCCAAGGTTTTCAATCGTGAATTTCTCCAAAGAGGATAGTTTGTACAACGAAGGGATGCGGCCTCTGATGTATTCCACGAAAGACTCTCAGCTCCACTCGATCGGTTGGAGGAGGTGCGGGGACAACGTCACCTACTACAGTAACGACAACGTGTAAGTGTCCTTGTCCGAAAAAATAAAACTATAGTTGTACTGTAGGACCCCCGAGGAACCCGAATCTCAAATGACGTACACTTTGTCGTTCACGATGGAGTTTCCGCACGAGGACGACATCGTCTACTTGGCTCATTGCTACCCCTACACCTACTCCGACTTGGAGGACTACTTAACCGAACTGTCCAACCATCCTATCAAATCCTCCTACACCACCATCCGTCTCCTCTGCAAAAGTCTGGCCGGTAATAACGTCCATTACATCACTATAACATCGCCACCAATTCCCAACGAGTCTAGAGTGAGTATTGCGGATCATCGATCCAACCCTTCTTGATTTATGATTGCAGAATAAACGATCCGTTGTTCTCACCGCACGCGTCCACCCCGGCGAAACCCCGTCCTCGTGGATGATGAAAGGCTTTTTGGATTACTTAACCAGCGATTGTGCTGTGGCCAAAGAATTGCGTGACAAGTTCATTTTTAAAATAGTTCCTATGTTGAACCCCGATGGAGTGATAGTCGGAAATAACCGATGTTCCCTGTCGGCGAAAGACTTGAATAGGCAGTACCGCACGGTCATGAGGGACGCGTACCCGTCCATTTGGTACACGAAGTTGATGGTACGGAGGCTGTTGGAGGAGTGCGGAGTAGCGATGTACTGCGACCTCCACGCCCACTCCAGGAAGCACAACATCTTCATCTACGGTTGCGAGAATCGACGAGGTGCGGAACGAAAGTTGCAAGAGCAGGTTTTTCCCCTCATGCTGCACAAAAACACTGCCGATAAAGTAAGACGTGTGTTTTGCCAGTAGCGAAAGTAAGGCTCTCTTGCAGTTTTCCTTCGAAAGTTGCAAATTCAGGATACAGAAGGCAAAGGAGGGAACTGGGAGAGTGGTCATGTGGATGATGGGGATTGCCAATAGTTACACCATGGAGTCGTCGTTCGCTGGGTCCACTCTAGGTACTCGAGCTGAAAGTCACTTCACCACGCAAGACTACGAACAAATGGCCAAGTCTTTCTGTCAAACGTTGCTCGACTTCTATGACGATGACCCGAGAAAGGTATTGCGAAAACGTAAACGATTTTACATTCCGATGTTCATATTTTTGCTTATTTCGGTTATTTTGGCATACTTTTATAGACTGTAATTTTCGAGAAATAAATTCTGTTAGACTGACACGTGTTTTATTTTAGGAGAAGTTAAGAACTAAGATTATTAATAGATTAATGAAAGAAGGGTCGAACGCGGATGAGCCTACGAACATCCAGTTGAGTGACTACTCGAGGTGAGTCCATGAGTAAAATTTCTTAACACTGCAATCCCTTTTAGTGACGAAGGAGACACTTCCAGTAGTAGTTCAAACGAAGTTGGCCGCACCGACGACGAATTGTTCGTACCAGCAGTACCACCACCATCTCCCATCATCTACAAGAAATTCAAGCCCAAAGTGCACCGCGCCAAGATGAAGATCCTAAACACGAGTCCCAACGCTGCCAGAAAACCTCTGCCAGTAATTAGCGAGATTCTTGACTTGGGTGATTAACTGTGAGATTTTGCTTCATTAACACTGTGCTGTGATAATCGCTTTCCAAAGAAAAAGGGATGTTCCTTATATTTTTTGACGAATAAATTTTTTTTTGACAGGGTTTAATCAAACAGTTAACTCCCCATTACAGTACTAACGCGACACTCCCTCACCGTAAACCTTTCAGATATGTAAAACTACTCTAGGGCTTTATCTGTCTAAAAAAGAAGCTAAATACTCGTCCGACAGCAGTACTTCCGACGACGAAGAACACTTCAAAATAGAAAAAACAAAGTCGAAGCCCGTTCGTCGAAAACCGAAGAAGAAGAAAGGGACTGTTAAAAAGAAACCACCTTGTGCCTTGTCCGACTGCGAAATCCAATACAAAACAAACACAGTGCGAAGCAGTATTTCTGTTTTTGATTTGGTTCCAAGTGAGAAGATTCGTAGCCAAAACGCAACGAAGCGATCGAAAACGCCACAACCAAGGTACCACCACCCAAACAAAACTCGTTACTATTTGTTCTTTCCAGAGTCGAAAAGAAGAACACGATCACGCAACAACTGTCAGAAGTCCAAGCCAAACTGATTAGTTTGAAAAACAAACTGTGGTATGGACTTGGAGGTGGCGAAAACGAACCGTTGTCGTGGGGTAGAAGCCAATTCAACTTCCCCGGTACCAGCCCCCCTCCTGTCAAGTAATCCAAACTGTTATCAAAATTCCACAAACTTATTTTGATTTCTAGAGTCTGTCACAAAAAGCACCGCAAAAAGACCGGTTGCAAGCCTGACAAACAGCCCGACAGGAAAAAAGACACTTCGAAACCAAAAGCGGAACTGAAGAAAACTGCGAATGGGTACTATACGATCTTAACTTTAAACTTCCCGTGATGTTGTGGGGGGAAACGTACATTTTTAGATTGAGGCGACAGACGGCTGTAGAATGGGGGCGCTGCTGTGAGCAGATTCAAAAATCGAAGAGTTTCCCCGACAATGCGTTGTCTAGGATAGTCGACATCAAAACCAAGCTAAGTTTGTACAGTTGCGACGAGGAGGACAAAACGGAAGTTAAGAAAAAGAAGAAGAAAAAGACTAAGTTTGGGAAGAAGGCCAAAACTGTTTCGCATGCGAAGATTTTTTTCACTAAAGACTGACAGTGCTTATGCAAAACACAATCAACTTGTACTGCCGTAGTTGTGATAATAAGTTAGTGGCTGAAGCGTTTTAGTTATTTGTAGACATGCCGTCATTCATTCGACTTTTAATAAATTTTTACGAAAACAAAGCTATTATTTCACAGTGGCGTGAGTTTATCGAGTTAGGGTTTATTGACGACTTCCTCTGCGGGACCACGCTATGTGTCAAGCGAGGTCTGAGTGTCCTACGAAATATTGATCACAGAATGTCGGTCACACGACTCCAAAACGCAATTTCCGCCAAATTTAACTTACAAGTTGTTGAAGATATCGTAAATAAAAAAAGCCATTTGGAAGAAACTATAGTAGAAAATATTAGAATCGACGAAAATTTTACCAACAAGGGTGACGCCTACATAGGCCAGATCTGTAGACTCGGAATCGAAATTTGTGGAAAGAATAAAACGTAAATGAATTTTGACTGTGGTATAGTGGATTCGAGTGAATTGAGTGTTACATACTTTTAAGGAATAAATTTACTTACTTACCTTTTTCATTTGTTAATGTGAGTATACAAAAGTAAAATTTTAGAAAACACGAAGAAAAAGACTGCATTTCCGTGGTCGTTAAATTCTTGCCCAAAAACTTAACCCGACGGAAAACATTCAGATGTCACCTATTTTTTAATAACGAGATTAATTTCTACACAAAGGTATCGCGAGATAGTTTATTTTTACCAAAGTTACGAAATTTGTGTTATTTTAGGTTTGGCCGCCATTTCAAAAATTTCAAGAGGACAGAAATAATCATGGATACTTTGACAACGTTCCACTGTAAATATAGTTTTACCAAATCCTTTGTCAAATTCTTCCAGTTGTTTACTGACACTGGAATGAGCAAACCAATGTTTTTTGACTTTTCTGTTAAAGATAATATGAAAATTTGAAAATCGTTCAACACAAAACCTAACTTAACAATAGTTCCTTAAATTGCAGCCTCTTGTCATTTTACAAAGACGGCGAAAACGACTTCCTGGCCCTCTCGGACCTAACCGTCGAAGGCTACCAACGCATCCCTCGTGGAAAAGCCCTAAACCAACCCCACACATCCGCATTTTTAAAACTCCTTGCGAAATTCCACGCTTTGAGTTTGGCTTTCAAAGATCAACGACCCGAGGATTTCGAAAATATCGCAACGACCCTCAGAGTACGTTTTCGGTCCACACAAACCAAATCATTCCCTTTGTTTCTAGGAAAATTACTACCACGAAAATTACCGCTCTTGGTTCGAGCCCCATTTAAAAAATCTGTTCGCTACAGCTATCGACGCTGTCGACAAACAACTTCCACAGCGTTATTCCAAAACTTTCGAAAATTTTCTAAAAACTGACGTCTACAGCGGTATTTGTGAGGGCTGTCGAGTCCGAGGACCTTTGTCTGTTGTTACCCACGGCGACGTGTGGGCTCCGAATTTCCTCGTCAAGTACGACGGCGAAAACATCGAGAAAATCGTGATTATTGATTTTCAGCTTTCGAGGTCAAGAGGATATGTTGTCGAGGCAAACGTTATCTTTAGATTTGCAGGTACACGACGCTGTCGGCAGATTTGACTTTTTTTCTTTTTACTTGTGCGGACGTGGATTTGTTGGAGGAAAAATGGGACGATTTGGTGGAGCTCTATTATGAAAGTTTGGTACAAAATTTGCAGGAGTTGGGGTCTGGGGGTTTAGTAAGTCTTGGCGACCTTCACGATGACCTTAAAAGAAGCATGGTGTTTGGGGTTGGGGTCGCTATAGAAAATATAATTATGAGTTTACTGGGTGAAGAGGATGTGGAAGATTTGGATACGTTACAGGTCAAAAGGGTGATGTATTGTTACCAAATGTAGTATTGTTGTTACAGGGGGATGAAGTTCCGGTTACAAATGTATGGAAGGTGCGACCTTTTCAGGATAAAAGCAAACGAGAGAGATTCGCAAAGTTTGTCAAGTTTGTAGTGGATAAAAACTTCATTTGAGTATAATTGTATCAATAATAAAAAACTATAAACAATCCTTTTTAACATAGACCCGAAATAGTCAATCTTATCAACCACAACTAATTGATCTAAACAATTTCTGCCTTGAAGAATTTCGCAATTATTTTATCTTCAAACTCAAAACACCTGTGTCATTCCATTAAAAATATGCGACGTAATAAGGATAACGATCTCCACAGTTAATTGTTCATTATTTGATTAAGCGTTAGAACTCTCAGCTGGTATCTAGTTTCAAACACGACGCGTTTGCCGCTTCCGCTGAATCCCACCCGAGTTAGTATCCACTGACGTGGCTTTCGTTCATTGATGCACTTCTAGCGGGTTGCACTCCCCACGTCATATAAAACATCGTCCATCATTGATGCATCCACAATCATCATGTCGGCCGAAGAACTGCAGAAAATAATTTCCCCGAAATTTACCGAACAAGTGCTTTTAGACATCGTCACCAAAAAAAGTGGGTTATGTGACATCAAACTGAAAAAAATCCAGCTCGGGGCCCCTGCGAAAAAAGGGGATTCGTACCTGAGCACGATTTGTAGATTCACCCTTGAGGCCGTTGGCAAGAACAAAGAGTAAGAAATTTTGAGAAAATTTAGTAGTTATGCAAACAACAATACACTAGTGCTTTAGTTGTAAGACGCGTTTCTTAGTTTAAATTTATTTTAAGCGGTAAAGAGGAGTTCGTTTCGTTTCCTGTGATCGCAAAATTCCCGCCGAAAAATTTAGCCCGGCGCAAAACCTGGAGATCGACGGAGTTTTTTGAAAACGAAATCATCTTCTATAACAAGGTATGATTTTTACGCATTTTTGACTTATTGGTAAAAATTTAATTCCAGGTATGGAGTGCCTTCCAAAAATACCAAGAGGACGCACAAATTAAAGACAAGTTTGATAATCTGCCACTGTAACGTCTGAAACCCATTTACCATTTGTCATTACAATAAATTTTTAGAATGCTTGCCACTTATTGGGATGGTGTAGATGACTTTGTGGCTATGGTGGACGTGAGTCCTGAAGGCTACACAAGCGCGGAACGCGCTACTGGTCTAGATTATGACCACACAGCTGGAATTTTAAAAATTCTGGCACAATTCCACGCTCTTAGTTTAGCTTTTAAAGAACAACAACCAGAGAACTTTGAGAAAGCTGCCACTAGCCTTAAGGTACTACTAATGATTAGTCCCACAAATAGTAACAATTTATTCCAGGAAACCTACTTCTCTGAAAGACTCCGTCCGTGGTACTCCAACTTCCAAAAAAACGTCTTCGTTGTCAACAGAGACGCCGTCGAAAAAGAACTCCCACCTGAGTACCTACACAAACTAAACAAACTTATTGATAATGATTTATATGGCGTGCTCATCAAATCGTGTGTAGCCAGAGGGCCACTATCAGTGGTGACCCATGGCGACGTATGGGTACCCAATTTTCTGTTCAAGTACCAAGGTTCCAAACCCGGCAGGATCACCGTGATTGACTTCCAGCTAGCGCGGTACAGTAGCTTGACGACCGATTTATTATTTTTCTTGTTTTCTTGCGTGGATCCCGACTTGGTGAAGGATAAATGGGACGATTTGATTGCCTTGTACCATCAGACTCTGCTAGAGAGCATGAAAAAATATGGAGCTAAGGGTACCGTCACTTTGGACGCCTTACAAGCAGAAATTAAGAAATACAGCTGTTTGGGGGTTGGGATGTCCATGGAGGCGCTCATCATGTCGCAGTTGGAGGATGACGAAGTTAGCGACGTCGACGGTATTGAGGTAAGTTTTGGAGTTAAGGTGGTTTGTTTTATTGAACACGTGGTTTTAAGGGTGATGAGGCCGTTCCTTTGGAAAGTGTGTGGATAATTAAGCCCTTCAAGGAAAAGGAGCGGCGGCAAAGGATTGCTAAGATGGTCAAAATGGCGGCAGATTGGAACTTCATTTAGTGGGTCTAAAAAAATATACATTATAAAAGTGACTGGAAACTTTACTATATGGCTCATACACTATAAATAAATTAAGTAAAGTTTTTTTTCTAGATATTATTAGTTAAATTTACTGAACTGAAATTTTGGGGTACATAATGATGTCAGTTCGAAATTGTTCCTTTTTCAGTGATGTAATAATTCACTTTTTGTAACTTAATATATACGACTGATCCATAAAAAATAAATGTTTGCAATCAAATCATGCTGTTTTTAATTTTATAAACCAACTTATTTTGAGGACTATCTCACAAATTGTGTATCTAATTTCTCTAAAATTCAAACGTTATGGCTAGTGATACATTGTACAAATCAGACCTTTAAATTGTCCAAAAAATTCGATTTGATTATTTATATTATTTGTGTTGTCATCGTTTTCGTTTCCAGGTATAAACTCTTATTGTTTTATTTCAGCCTTGAATAAAAAAAAATGTATCGCTAATGCATTTCTAAATAAACGTGATAAGATTAAAATTACACGAGTAGATATTTTTGATTAAACAGTAGAGATCTAAATCGATAACTATTGTTAAACAATCATTAATTTATATACGGCTTCTTCAGCCTCTCTTAACGAATTCCACTCATAAATAGAAACATGAGTTCCACTTATTGATAATTTTGTAACAGTTGCACAACCTTTTATAAAACCATTACTCATCATTTAATTGTTGCTTCTATATCTAGCAAAAAATTAAAATTTCCCAGAAGCAGTTTTAAACCTCAGAAAAAAATGGATGATTTTCATGTAAAAAAATTAAAATCGGAATTAATTTAAAAAAGCAAACACGGACTTTATTTTCTATCTGAGCATCATTTTCATTTATAGTTGCTGGAAAAACCAGAGTCTCTAGGGAAAACAACCAAGAATTTCTTACGACAAATCTTGTTTATATTTTTAGATATGCAACCAGTTATACACACCGGTAACCTTAACACGTGTTTTTCTAAATTCGTCATATAACGACTAATTTTATTTTAGCACTTTTATGGCCAAGAAGCGTTAATTTCCAGGTCAATGTTTACAAAATTCCCATTATGGGGGCCGGAACACCTTAAAAACGTCCACAACAGGGAAATTTAACGAAAATCAGACATTCTTGTTTGAGAAGGTATTTTTTTCAAAGTCACTATTTCAATAAGCTGTTAAAAATGATTGCAGATACAAAATGCCACTCAAAATTTGCAAAACAGGGCCGAAGTCGCTAAAAAATTTAACAAAGTCTCGTTATACCACCATAGATACTCCTGCAATTTTTATTAAGGCAATTGTTCCAGGATGTTGTCGAGTCAGTTTGATGCTGCAAAACTATGAGAGATATTGACCATAAATTCAGGGGGTGGAACCGGCTTAAACTTAATTATGCAGCTGCCCTTTTACAAGTCCTACTAGGTTCAAGTTATTCTTATTTATTTAGCCTGTAGAGAAACCGAGTAAGTTCTAAATAAATTTCTGAAGAATGTTAGCTGGCAGCTGACCTTCCAGAAAAGCTACAGACTTTAGATTAGCTTTTGTAGATGCAGTTGTGTACTAAAAAAATTGGTTGTACCTTGTTGGTGGATTTCAATGGGCTGCTTATGAAATTATGGATAGTCAGAGGCGGTTTGTCATCATAAAATTAAATGTAATTGATGGCCAAATAACCCAGTAGAGGACCTTAGTGGGTGATTTACTCCCATCTTGTCGTGTCTGAAAATAGACTTGTTGAAGAATGAATTGAATAAATTATAGGATTACATTGTCAGATGGTGGTGGACATTAAGGCAAGTGTGAGGCTAGAAGCCCCATTTTTCTTAATTCGTTACATTCCAAACTTAGGGCTTGTCATTTTAGAGATTCAGGGGTCTGTGACTGGCGATTTTGTTGCTACAACGGTAAGATTAAACAAAAAAGGAGTTACCTGGTTACAATTGTGTTTTTTCAGTTCAAAATATCAGGAAAATTAACTTTTCAAACAACAAGAAAACCTGGAAAAAACTGCTGTGATCAACTTGGCTGTGTAAGAAACTTCATAGTGAGGGGGCTGCCATCCTAGAAAAACCAAAATACTTTCTGGAATAAAAATAAAAGCTTGAAATGAAATAAATCGCAATTTTTTTATTTATATACTGCGTATTTTTATTTGCGACGTCTTTGCAGCGGAGCGTGATTGAAAAACTTGCTAACTATAATTTAAAAAATTGCCGGTGCGGTGGTGGGGGTTTGACTGATACTACCACCCTTAAAAAATAAAATATTTTTTCAACGTAAATATTTCGTTTTGAGTGCGTTTAAACACGTGGAGTCTCCGTTCGCAAAAACTTTCTCTGGGGTCGGTTAATTTTCGAATTTTTTCGTTCGGGTGGGGGCAGTGTGCTTACGTGATTGGTCACATGAACTCGACCGTTAAGCAAACAAACCCATTTTTGGCGATTTAGTCGAAAAGGCGCAAAAAACGTCCCACTTTTCGCGTTTCTAGCGTTTGGTGAGTGTCCCGTTTCCGGTGGTTGAAATTTCGAAAATGTCCTCGTCAAGATCGTACTTTCCGAGCGCGCCGGAAACGGCCGAACGCTGTCAAGCAAGTTTGATAAATTTGATTTCTTGGTGTTGTTGCGGCCCTTCGGCCCTTGTTGTCGCTCACGTGCTTGGGCTTAGTCGCGGCGGTTTCTCTTCGGGGACGGTTCGTGCGTTTAGTGTCGAACTTTTTTCTGCAACTGCAATTTATTGAATTTTATTGTGGGTTTCGTTAGCAGCGTGCGCCGCATTCTCATTCGTTGTTTCTACTTGGAGTGTGTGCACTTTTGTTAGATTGCGAAAGCGACTAAAATTTCTTTTTTAAATAAAGGGCAGTGTTTGGAGTGAGAAAGGGAGGATGAAGGAGCTCGAAATCAGCAAAGGACTGAAGGAGGAGATCGAAACTAATCAAAATCAACTAAAAAATGCTATTCGTAATCATCAGGTAAGTTTGCAGTGTTTGTAACTTTTCCCACACGTTCGAACAGAGATTCCCCGTTGGCTGTCACGGGTGCGACAAGGACACGGCGAGATTATCGTTCGACGAGAAAACTTCCCCAAAACAGTTTCGTTATGTAAAAGTGTTTGTAAATTTTCAAAACGGGAAAGACAAGTACTCAAAAATGCTTTTCTTTTGTTTGCTTACAGAGTTTTGTCATCAGGCTGAAACAGGACCCTGACGTAAGTCGCCGAATCAATTTATTAATAATTTACTCGACGGAATAATTTTTCCCCACAGAACGTCGATTTGCAAAAGGAAATCAACAAAGCCGAACAGGAAATTATCCTGACAGGAATTGCTCAGGTAAGAAAAAATCCCCCAGCAGATAACCTGCACTTTCCTAACATCTGTCTAAAAATTCCTCCAAACACAATCCGACCAGCAAAATCAAACCCATATCGTGCCCAAACTTACGAAGCAGAGTACACTCTCGTCCAAAATAATTGTCTCCACTTTATTACAATAAAATGGCCGTTAATGTTTGCCATGCCGCCTAGATGAAAAATATAACAAGTTCGTCCGTCTCTCTCTCCGCATTATTATCTATAAATACACTTTTTAAACTTAAAGCCCCGAACAATAAATTACTAATGCGCAACTTTCCCCCACAAAACACCTATTGATCCCAAATACGAGCCCAATCCTCGAAATTAATTTTTTCCGCCGGAAAAGTTGTTTGATATTTGTGCGAGATTTATTGATTCGGCGATGTAAAGCATGTTCAAGATTTCTTGTATTTAATACACACGCAGATGCACGTTCGTATTTGAGGTCAATAAAGGCTGTTATCGCGCGAAACGCGGCCTTATCGACGCCGTTTCTAGGTTAGGAACATGCGGGAAAAATCTTTTTTTCCCATTATCAGCGCTGATTTGTTTGAGAAAATTTTCGGACGCCCGGCCTTGAAGTTTCATTCAATATGGCGTGCGGGGGAGGGGATTAATGGCTTCACTTTGCGCGGAAATAAAATGTACCGGACTTAATGAGGTGAACATGTGAGTAATTAAGAATTAAAGTTCAAACCGGCTTGGGTTGAGGAACCTTTTCGGTTAAGCGAGGCTAAAATTTGTCAAGGCGACTTTCACGCTTTGGGAGGTCAACCCGGAAATGGACACGGTTCGAATCCAACTCAGGCCAATTTTTTTTTTAGAATGTGGACTCGTTCACATTCTTTAGTATATTTTAAATACAAAAGAGGATGAGATAACGTTGGAGAGAAGAAAAGATCAAGTCTTATCACATTTAGATACGTTTTGTATATTTTGTACACAAACTGTGTTTTTTTGCTTATAAAAACAAAAATATTCTAACAATGCTGCTCGACAAAAATGCGAATCCGGTTTATAATTTAATTAGTGTAAATCTGAAAAGAATAAATTATTACATCGAGGTGTTAGTGTTAAAAAAATATCAAGTTATATCAAAGATTATGTAACGATATTCGCTACTGAATGTTATCAGTAGTGGGATTAAAATCAACAGGGAGCGGCTCAGTCAAGTCCAAGATTAGAAAATTAAAAATTGATTGCGGCACAGGTTGGTGCTCCTTTTACCGTTCATTTGAGATAGTATTAGGTGTTGTATAAGTCACAAGTGAGCACCTTTTTGTCTGAAGTACTTATCAGACTTTAAATTTAAGTGGGTAAAACTTATCTCTAAGCAACTAAAGTCATTAGCACTAATACTCAGCTAGAACAGAATTTTTGTCGATAACAGTCTAATGAGAAAATGATTTATCCATAAACAGACGTTTGCAATTTTATCTTTTTCGTAGGAAATATAAAACTGGTTTTGTTAGCATATTTTGTAAAAACGGAAATGAGATAGTCTGTTCATAATCTAACTACATTGGTAAAATAACATATAATAATAACAAAATATTGTCAGATTCTTCAAAAAAAAAAAAAAACAAACAAAATTGTATCACATTTTACAATTTAACTTTAAAAATCCAAACATGAATGTTCTGAAACGGAAGCATGGTAAATCGGTAATGAAAATTTGTCCGTTGTGGCCCATTCCCCAAAAATGATGACGTCATCTTACAATGTTGTCGAATAAAATTTATCAGTGTTTACGCTAGACATCCAGTTTTTTTTTTGGGAAAAAACGAGTTTGTTTAATTAATTAAGCATACTTTGAGATTTCACCGCTGATGTTTGTTATCTGAACGTGCGTAAGAGTCGAATTCTTTCGAAATATACATATAAACTCTCGAAGTTAAGCATGTACTGAGAATACAAAATCAAACGTCATAATCGTTTATTCACTATTAAATTAAATTTAATCAATCAATTCAAAAAAATTGGTCGAAGGTCATTTCGACAGAACTTCCCTCGCCCTTAAAGTGCAGCCAAATATATCCCACTTATCTGAAAAATTATATTTTTTTTTGCGATTTTTGTTTTCTGATAACCTCTATAAAGTAAAAACCAGTGGTGTAAATAACGCTCCGCAGCTTATTTGACTTGGATTTTTCTTTTTTTTTTTTTTTTGTTCCTTCATTTTTTCGGGTTTTCAAGTTTAAACTTTTGAATTCAATTTCTAGATTTTGCAATTTTTCGATTTGAGTTTCTGGAGTTTTTTAATTTTTCCATTTGTAATTTTTCGTTTCAATTTTTCATTTTCTTTATTTTTACAATTTTTACGTTTGTAATTTTTCAAGATTTTTTTTTCTTTTTTTTTTTCTTTTTTCAATTTCCCTAGTTTTTTGATTTGAAGTTTCACGAGTTTTAAATTTTTAGATTTTTCGGTTCAAAATTACTGAATAATTAATAGATTAATTTAATATTTTTTATTATATGTAATATCTCTTGTTCTTTGTGCCAAAAAATTGTTGGAAGAAAACTATGTATGTAAATAAAAAAAAAAACAAAAATTATCTCTAAAAAGTTCTACCCTTTTATAAACATATTTCATATGATAATTTCTTGTAGAGAAATGAGGATTTTGCAACTAAACTCCGTCCTTCAGCTCACGATGAATAAAGCATTCATCCCAATTGAGAAAGGGTGGGTGGGCGGGCCTTATATTGGGACCATTTTTTCTTAATGTATGAAGTCTTCTTTTCCCAACAAGAAACTGACAATATGTTGAACTATCATGTTGTTGAAAGAAAACTCTATATACTAAAAAAAAATAAAAGTTAATTTTCGGATTAAAGAGGTGGTAGGTAATTAGCCGGATTGGCGGAATTCAAACTTCTACCTAAATTCTTAATCCCTCATGAAGAAGCTAGCAAGTAATTGGCGCAACTCCAAAATCTACTAGCTAAGATAAGACTCATTTTGGCAAATCATATACTTTCTAAAAAAATTGAGGGCGGGTGGGCGGGGCTAGTTCTTGCTAAGATAAGACTGATTTTGGCAAATGATGTACCCCCTAAAAAAATAGAGGGACTACCCGCCTTTTATTTTCTTATTCTATTTGCCAAAATCAATCTTTCCTAGCAAGTACTAGCCCCGCCCACCCGTCCTCTATTTTCTTAGAAGATATATCATTTAGCCAAAATCAGTGTAGTCTTGAGGTTTTAAAAAACATAACGTGTTTATGCCCCCCGAAACAAGATTAAAAATATTAGGTTTAAAACTTTTTAACCCAAAAGTAATGTCTGGAGGTCGAAATCTAAAGAAAATTTTTGGATAAACTTCCCTCCCAAGAAATTGACTTTGGTTAGTTTTCGAAAATTGTAGAATGTTGTCCGAGCCTTAGTAATTAGTAGTTATTACGGTAAAACTGATTTTGGCAATGATATACATACCCTCTAAGAAAATAGAGAGCCTACCCTTGTAGAGAAATGAGGATTTTGCAAATAAACTCCGCCCTTCAGCTTATTATAAATAAAGCATTCATCACAATTGAGAAGGGGTGGGTGGGCGGGGCTTATATTTGGTCCGTTTTTTCCTAATATACCAAGCCTTCTTTTCCCGACAAGAAACTGACAATATATTTAACTATCCTGTTGTTGAAAGAGAATTCTATATCTTATAAAAAAAAATTAAGCCCCACCCACCCGCCCCGATCTTGATTGTGATGAGTTTTTCATTCCTAATCAGACCGATTAGGTAGAGTTTAATTATAATATCAATATTTGTCTAAAAAAAAATTCTACCCTTTTAAAAACATATTTCATATCGCAAATTCTTGTAGAGAAATGAGGATTCTGCAAACTAAACTCCGCCCTTCAGCTCATTAAGGCTAGTACATACTTCCTGATTTTGACAATTGACGTACCCTCTAAGAAAACAAAGGGTGAGTGGGCGGGGCTTGTGTTTGTCAAGATAAGATCAATTTGGGAAATGATATCCTCTGTAAGAAAATAGAGGGTGGGTGGGCGGGTCTAGTATTTGCTTAGCTAAGACTGAACAGCATCAAGACTAGTTACTAGAATGAAGAAGGGGCCTTGTTTCTTCGATAACTGCAACCCTCTTTCCAGAATCGCCCTTTAAAAACCCGCAATTTTTAGAAATTTTCAAAAATTCGAATTTCGTACCGAATTTTCCGAAAATGTTGCTTCGTGACCATAAGCACGCAATAATATTGCCATTTTATTTTATGATTTTTTATGACTGAGTGTTGTACCTATCGGAAACAAAGATTTTTATTTATTTGAATATAGAAGAACCTTATCACATCATCCAAAAAATTGGTCCAAAAATCCTGGTTCCAAACCCAACAATCGAAAACATATTTCTTGTAGAGAAATAAGGATTTTAAGCTCCACCCCTCTTGGCTCACGATGAATAAAAAAATCATCACAATTGAGATAGGGTGGGTGGGCGGGGCTTATATTTTGCCTTTTTTTTCTTAATATACGTAGTCTTCTTTTCACAAATTTCGATCCATTATCGAAATTTAACTAAATAGATTTTCTTGTGGATTTTTATTATATTTTGCATTTTTTTCCTTAATATACATAGTCTTTCCTTCGCAACAAAAAACCAAAAACATCTTTAAAATGGTAAATTTTATCCCCGACACTTCTCTACAAATTTACTCTTTTAAATATGTTTTCAATTTCCTGTCGTGAAAACAAAACTATGTACATATGTTACGAAAAAAAAGGCATAATATAAACTCCGGCCACCCACCCCTTTCAGAATTGTGATAACTTTTTTATTCGTCGTGAGCTTAATTGCAAAATCCTTATTTCTCTGCAAAAACTACCTTGTGATACATATTTTTAAGATCATGTTGAGAGAAAACTATATATGTCAACAAAAAGGAAGTCAAATATTAAGCCCCACCCATCCACCTCAATCTCAAATGTCATGAGTTTTTCATTCGTTGTGAGACCGAGGGACAGAGCTTAATTGTAAAATCGATCTTTTCCGAGAAAAATGTACCATTTTAAACGTTTTAAATATCTTGTCGTGAAAAGATCATTACGTATATCCAGAAAAAGGCAAAATCTAAGCCCCGCCTAGCCACCGCCAGTTGTAATGATGTTATTCGTTGTCGAGTCCGGGGGCGGAGTTTAATTGCAAAATCCTTATTTCCCTACAAGAAGGTATCGCCTGAAACATGTTGGGTGTTGTGGAAGAAACCTGTATATATTAAGTTTGAATAACACGATGCTCAAAAAATTTAATGACTGAGTCTATTTATTTTATTGTTTAAATAAAGAACTGCAAAACTGAATATTTTGAAATAGGTATTGTAGATGTTTTGAAGTTTTGTAAGCATAGTAACTTCTTAATCAAAAAATTCATGACGTTATCTCAAAATTTTGCCGAATAAATTCTACCCAAAATGTGAGTTTTTACTTGTGATTCGTGATTGCATTCATATTTTTTAGTAAACAAATTAAGAACGAGTCCCCCCATTTTTCCGAAAATGTGAAAACACAAACGTCTTTATTTAATAAGAATTATAATAATGATATTCAGAACATTTTGTCGATTGTAGCTTACTAGTACTTTATAGTTTTGATCCTCTGTTTTGAGGGGACGAACTCATTCAAATCAAACTAATTTCTACGTGACATTGTTCCGATGTATAAACATGAATACTTTTAAGTTGTTTTTCTTATCGAGGATAACCCGAGGACGTACAGTAACGGAGTACATTGGGCAATTTGGCACTTCCATATTTTCTCGATATTTCATAACCCCTAGACAAGGCCCTAGCTAGGGGGAGACTAGGGGATGCTGAGATCTAGACAAGTCATAATTAACCAAATGTTAATTACAACATCGAAAATCAAAATAAAATGTAGTGTTTTATTCAATAAGCGGAAGTCAGAGCAATAAAAAAATCTGGACCGTCGGCATTGTGATCCGATTATTGCAATTCGTAGAAAACATCTTTTAGTTTCTGTTTCACTCTCACGTCTACAGGTTGATAAGTGTTATCGCTATTTGTCTTAAATTACAAGTACCATAAATGATTCAGTTCAGTCTTCAGTCGCACGTCTGTCTGTTATAACATACATATTTTTTCGTTATTTTATTGATTATAAATCACTATTCAAGAATAACAATAATACAGTACTTTTATTATGATTAGTACTACAATGCATCTATCCAATAGACCACTTTTTTATATATTTTTTTAGTTAAATACTCGTGTTCGGCTCGGACCAAGGACATAAAAGTGTAAATAACAGACACTCGGTATCGATTTGGAATTTTCTTTCAAGTAAAGCCGGGTCTTAGAGCTTTAAATTAGGCCAATGTGTCGGAAGTTCATACAATTAATTATCATGCTTTGATTTAATGAAACGTGAAGCTCTAGAAAGAGATTTTTAAGTAGTGTTCTATCTAGATGTTGCTTATGCATGTGGTACAACCTGACCTTTTGCCTCATTTGTATTCAAAGTTTTAACATATCGGGAAAGTTACGAAGTCGGTGTTATATAAGGAGGTAAGGTTTGTAATTATTAGAGGTAGACTAATTATAAAACGTGTTTATATTAACTTAAGAACAGACTTTGCTTTCATTAAGGATTATAAAATTATGGACAAAAAAAGAGACAACTTGAAACGCTAGAAAAGCATTAAAAGTATTAATATTGGGCACAAACAGAACTGGGACCTACTTTTTCATACTCGAAGAGAAACCTTGAAATTTTCTAAATGATTGGACCGAATATAAAGAAGTTGTTTAAATTTCTGAATACTCGGATGATTTTTACAATACGATGTTTGTACAGTTTTATCGACATTTATTTTGTTACCAAGTCGAATCGTATCATTTGCGGTTTCCATTGCCATGATAGTGAGAAAATGGAGATGCACCCCTTTGAATAAACAACATAAATTGTAATAATACGAATAATAATAATTAGTAATAATAATTTTTGTAAAATCTCTCAATTCAAAAAAACTTTATTATAAGGACAAACAGCGTAAACCGGGAGTTCGACTTTTTTTTTCTTTGCATAAACATAAAAATGTCGTTGATTTTTTTAAAACCTGAAAACGTCGTTGGTTTTTTGGGAAGGCTGCACGCTTATCAGCCCGTGTCATATTTTTTACCGTGGATTTCCCAAATGCGGTCAAGAATTACACTCCTATCCATATCAGTTTGTTTTTAAACAAGTAGAAAACGACATACATGTATATGTATTTGTATAATTTTAATAGAGTGAAATGTGAAACAGAGATAAAAACGAGATTACATATCCTATCTACGACTGAGTAATCAGAGTTTTATCAAAACGCTTTGTCAATTTAGAGTTGAACACCGAAGCCCGTTCTTACTAAATAATAAAGAACGCAAAATTTGCATTAACGACGTGTCGAAAAACAACAACACCCACTTTTTTTCGTCATTTATCACCATGGTATAGTATACACACTTTTTTATCTAGTTTATAGCCGTACTGAACGTTAAAAATTTGTATTTTTTTTTTGCAGAAGAGTCTCCTCGAGCGACTTCGGGAAGAATACAAAGCTCACCAAAAAACGCTGAAGACCAACGCCGTCAAGAACAGCATCGAGGAGCGCCGATTTAACTTAAGTAACGCTCTTAGTCGAGCCAGGAAGCAGAATATGTGAGTTTTTCGCGATTTTTGGTTGATTTTTGAAAATAATTGTTATGTAATGCAGAGTATCACGTCCCACTTCCGTATCCGTTTCGTCGGTTTCTGATGAGTCATTCGAAGCGACTTCCGCACACTCCTCTCCTGAACACCAGCCTTTCAACCCGGTGGATCCCCACGATACCACGCAGTCGGAGTTCTTGAACAACTTCGGCTTAGTCACCCATGATGTGTACAAAGAGATGCAGAATAAACGCGTGGAGAGGAAGAGAAGGAGTACAGCAAATCCGCACTTCTTGTACGGCAATAAAGGATGGGATTTCCAACCGGTGGGTTTGCAATATTTTTTTTCGTGACGGTTTTATTTTAATGTGCATTTTTATTTCAAAACTGGCGAGACGGTTTTGTTTTGCACTTTAAGTAATAATGACGTCACAGTTAACGTAAAAAGTAAAACATATGCCAAGGCTGCTTGGGTTTAGTTAGTTAATAATAATAACAGTACGTGGCAAAAGTTATTTTTTAGCGACTTCGGATTTTCTGAAATAATTATTTTGATGTCTATATTTCGTACAAAAAAAGTCCATGTTTTGGATAAAACAAATTATCGTGAAGTGTAGATCAAATAATTTTTAAAACTGAGTTTCGCAATGTCAGATAATTGGCATATTTTTGCAACCAATACGATAAAGTTACTGAATACAATATCTGGCGTCGTATTATTATTATTATCGAAGATCGTATTATTTATTATCACTCGTAAACTAAAACTAACAATTTAATTGATATTATGAAAATACACAAAGTAAAGGTCAGAGAATACCAAGAAGCGACAGCTGCAAAATTAAATTTTGACACTTGTATTACTAATATTTTTTGTTTTTTTTTTTTACAGAAAAAGAAAAGAAATTCGTATTTATATTCGTCTATTTCGCCACCGAATACCCGCCAGGCCGTCCGTAAGAAGAACGAAAGGGTCTCTCCGCCCTTGCCAAACGGCAACAGCACGACTACGAAATCAGCATTCGCGCCCTTTCCCCCCATTCCCAACCTACCCAGCGGACTGACGATCGAAAGGGTGAGCCCTACGAGCTCTTCGCCCGATTCGAAGACTTGCGTGACCTGTAGGCAACCAGGTAGTCAGCAGCCCAGTTTTCGAAATCAAACGTCTAATTTTCTGTAACAGGTTTATTGTCAATTTGCGAGAGCTGCGCGAACGGCTTCCATGTCAGTTGCCATAACCGGCCTTTGACTCAGTCTCCGCGGCAGTGCCCCAGGTGCATAAACAAAGAAGTGCGCACGATAGGGTCTCTTAATGTGCCTTCGGGAATGAGCGTATCGTATGTGACCTCGACCGAGCTCTCAGGTTAGGCAAAATAATGCTTCTGGTGTTTTCTTTCTGTCCTCTATTCTCTCCTCCGTCTAAGACTGCAGATTTCGTTGAGATTCGGCTAGATCGGTGAATTTTTGTTTTTGCAGAAAAACTAGAGGAAAAGAAAAAGTTGGAAAAAGTTAATAAGACACTTTCAGCTGAATTGACCCAATTGCAGGATCGACACTCGCAGCTGACAATCTCGCTGAAGAACCAGAAGAGTCAGCAGGAAGAATTGCTGACGACGCAGCAAACGACAGAGGAGAAAATTAAGCAGATTCTGACGTTTATTAACAATGTGAAGAGCGAGATGGTTTCCAAACCGGCGCAAGCGAAGGCGTGAAGGCGGAACTGTGTGATCAATTTAGTTTTTGGAGAGATGTATATAACGTTGTTCTTATCTCTATTGTTAAGACTGAGGACGGTATATTTTGTTATAAAATGTTTTTTAAGAATTTGTAATGAATTAAACGATGAGGACCACAATTTAGCGTTTTATTATCGCACTTTGGACTCCACTGGACAAACAACTCATAGTAGTAAAAAAAGGCAAAATATAAGCCCCGCCCACCCGCCCTATCTCAATTGTGATGAGGAGCGCAATTTAATTGAAAAATCCTTATTATCTCTACAAAAAGTTACCATGTAAGACATGTTTTTGAGTATCGTGTAAGTCAAAGATTTAAGTCCCACCCATATGTGGCCTGATCTAAATAGTAATGAAGTTTTCATTCGTTGGTAGACTTAGGGGCGGAGCCTAATTTCAAAATCCATATTTCCTTACAAAAATTTACTATTTTAAACGCATTTTAAGTTTCTTAGAATAAAAAAATTCATCACAATTGAGAGGGGGTTTTAATTTTCTTGTTGTGAAAAGATGGCTTTATATGTATATTAAAAAAAAAGGCAAAATATAACCCCCGTCCACCCACCCTCTCAATTCTGATGTTTTTTTTTATTCGTCGTAAGTCCAGGGGCGGAGGTTAATTCTAAAATCCTTATTTTTCTACGAGAAATTACCATGTCAAATATGTTACTTAAGTAATCGTGTTATACAAAGAAAACTAAATGTATTAATTAAAAAGGAAAACCAAATGAGGGGCCCCACCTGCCTGTCTCGATCTCAATCGTGATGAATTTTTTTAATCATCTTAAGCCAAGGGGGTGGAGCTTAATTGCAAAATCCTTATTTCTTTATGAAAAATTAAAAACATGTTTTTGAGTATTGTGTTGTTCAAAGAAAACTAATTATTTATGTATGTATATTAGGAAAAAAAAAATAAAGCCAAAAATTAGGCCCCACCCATACCCGCCCCGACCTCAATTTTCAATTGTGTTCATTCGTTGTTACATCGAGGGGCGGGGCTTAGTTGCAAGATCCAGATTTATCGACAAGAATTTACCATTTTAAACGCGTTTTAGGTCTCTAAGAATAGAAAAATTCATCATAATTGAGATGGCGTGGGTGGGCGGGGTTTATATTTTGCCTTTTTTTTTTCTTAATGTACATAGTACTCTTTGAACGAACACTATACTCAAAAACATGTTTTTAATTCCTTGTAAAAAAAAGTATTTTGCAGTTAAGCTTCGTCCCCTTGGTTCACAGCGAATAAAAAAAAATAATCACAATTGAAATAGGGTGGGTGGGCGGGCTTACATTTTGCCTTTTTATTTTAATGTGTGTAAACTTCTTTTCGCAAGATGAAACTCAAAACCTGTTTAAAATGGAAAATGTGGTAAGGCAATATAGATTTGGCAATTAGGATTCGTGCCATAATTGCAAAATCCATATTTCCTTTCAAAAATGTACCATTTTAACCATGTTTCAGGTTTCTTGTTGTGACAAGATGGCTATTTATGTTAAGAAAAAAAAAGGCAAAATATAGGCCCCGCCCACCAACCCTATCTCAATTCTGATGATTTTTTTTATTCGTCGTAAGTCGAGGGGTGGAGCTTAATTGTAAAATCCTTATTTTTCTACGAGAAATTACCATGTGAAATATGTTCTTGTTCGTGTTCTACAAAGAAAACTAGTACATGTATTAATTAAAAGAGAAAACCAAATGAGAGGCCCCACCTATGTGTGTCGATGTCAATCGTAATGAATTTTTCATTCGTTGTCAGACCGAGGGACGGAGCATGATTGCAAAATCGATATTTCCCTACACAAAATTACTACTTACACATGTTTTCAGTTTCTTGTTGTGAAAAAATTACTACACATCTTAAGAAAAAAGGCAAAATGTAAGCCCCGCCCACCTACCCTATCTCAATTGTGATGATTTTTTTAATTGTCTTGAGTCAATGGGGTGGAGCTTAATTGCAAAATCCTTATACTCGTATCTCTACGAAAAATTAAAAACATATTTTTGAGTATTGTGTTGTTCAAAGAATACTAATTATGTATGTACATTAAGAAAAAAATAAAGCCAAAAATTAGGCGCCACCCATATCCGCCCCGATCTCAATTCTCAATTGTGATGAATTTTTCATTCGTTGTCAAATCGAGGGGCAGGGCTTAATTGCAAGATCCAAGTTTATCTACAAGAATTTACCATTTTACACGCGTTTTAAGTTTCTAAGAATAGAAAAATTCATCACAATTGAGATGGGGTGGGTGGGCGGGGTTTATATTTTGCCTTTTTTTTTCTTAATGTACATAGTATTCTTTGAACAAACACTATACTCAAAAACATGTTTTTAACTCCTTGTAAAAAAAAGTATTTTGCAGTTAAGCTTCGCCTCCTTGGTTCACAGCGAATAAAAAAAATCATCACAATTGAGAGAGGGTGGGTGGGCGGGCTTACCTACATTTTGCCTTTTTGTTTTATCGTCTGTAGACTTCTTTTCCTTAGAACCTGTTTAAAATGGAAAATTTGCATAAGGTAATATCGATTTTGCAATTAGGCTCCGTCCCATACTTGCAAAATCCATATTTCCTTGCAAAAATGTCCCATTTTAGCCATGTTTTCAGTTTCTTGTTGTGAAAAGAGGGCTATGTATATTAAGAAAAAAAAAAGGCAAAATATAAGCCCCGCCCACCCACCCTATCTCAATTGTGATGATTTTTTTAATTGTCTTGACCTAATGGGGTGGAGCTTAATTGCAAAATCCTTATATCTCTACGAAAAATTAAAAACATATTTTTGAGTATTGTGTTGTTCAAAGAATAATAATTATGTATGTATATTAAGAAAAAAATAAAGCCAAAAATTAGGCCCCACCCATATCCGCCCCGATCTCAATTCTCAATTGTGATGAATTTTTCATTCGTTGTCAGATCGAGGGGCGGGACTTAATTGCAAGATCCACATTTATCTACAATAAGAATTTACCATTTTAAACGCGTTGTAAGTTTCTAAGAATAGAAAAATTCATCACAATTGAGATGGGGTGGGTGGGTGGGCGGGGTTTATATTTTGCCATAATGTATATAGTACTCTTTGAACAAACACTATACTCAAAAACATGTTTTTAATTCGTTGGTAAAAAAGTATTTTGCAGTTAAGCTTCGCCCGCTTGATTCACAGTGAATAAAAAAAAACATCACAATTGAGATAGGGTGGGTGGGCGGGCTTATATTTTGCCTTTTTGTTTTATTGTGTTTTATTTATTTTCACAAGATGAAACTTAGAACCTCTTACAATGTCAGTACCATTATTTTAAAAGTAAGCACGGCCTACTGGAGGAATTTTTTCGATCATATGGTACCCAATTTTATTCTCAAAGGCGTTCTCCTTTTCGGACGAACAATGGACTCGACCGAATTATGCACAGACCACGTGGTGGCCTCTTTTGAGTCTTTCGTTTTTGACTCAACTCTATAATAGACATTTCTGTCTTGGCATTGATTAAATTTGAGGTTTATTGTAGGGATACGTCACAGGGTTTAACTGTTTACAAAAAATCAAGGCCAACTTGATGACTTTTTCAACTGAACACCCGGTACGTAGTTTATCTTTATTTTAAGTTATATGGGTGTCATATAAAATAAGAAAAAACAAATTTTATATTTTATGCAAGAAATAGATTTGTTGCTTGATTATATATCAAAGCCTAGGCAAGTATTATCTAAATAACTTCAGACCAATTTTAACATGAAGTAAATAATTTATTATTTTTATTGACCGTTTTGCTTATATTTTTTTTTAAATCACCTGTGGCGCCACCTAGCGCGATGTGTCACTAGAAACCGGCACTTAAGCACGTGTTCTGTGAATCTCATTCTCAAGGTTGTTCTCGACAAGTTGACATTAAATTGACATCGGACAAGTGCAAAACCTAACCTCAACCAATTCAAAACATGCCGATTACTCAGGTATTTTCTCACAATTTTAAGCCCCCTTTACACCCACAATTAGCTTTTAGGTACAAAAGACACCAACGACTCATGTCGAACGTTCATTTTTCAAGGAGAAGGCCACACTTTGGGTAACGCACTGCGATGTGTAATCTCTGGCTAGTAAGTCCCAGTATTCACTTAAATCCTCGGTTTACTTATTTGTGTTTCAGTCCTGACGTCGAATTCTGTGCCTACACGGTGCCCCACCCCATGGAACACAGCATGCACTTCCGAATCCAGATGAAAAAGGGGCGCGCAGTGGACGCCCTAAAACGGGGCCTAGAAGACCTGGTGGCCGTCTCCGACCACATCCTCGACGAGTTCTCCCGCGAGAAGCAAGCCTTTGATGGGCGGCAAGAACTGTCAACTTAAAATAGCCAAATAAATGTCATTTTCATAATTAGTCAAAATGTTAGTGTCAAATTCCTTCCCTCATGACTAAAGAATGGCGAAACTGGAACATACAGCCTCTGAGGAACTCACGCTATCATCAAGAGGCTACAAATTATTCAAGGTTTTGGGTGAAGGTTCGTACGCGAAGGTGTATTTAGCTGAATATAGAGGCAACACTGACGATAAAAACAAACCAAGACAGTTAGCTTGTAAGATCGTGGATACGACGAAAGCACCCAGAGATTTCGTCAAGAAATTTTTACCGCGAGAGTTGGAAATTCTGGTCAAGATCAACCACCCTCATCTCATACACGTGCACAGTATTTTTCAGAGAAAAGCGAAGTACTACATTTTCATGAGGTATGCAGAAAACGGGGATTTGTTGGAGTTTATTTTGAAAAAAGGGTCGATTTCGGAGGCGCAGTCGCGCGTTTGGATGCGCCAGTTGTGTCTAGCTGTGCAATATTTGCACGATATGGAGATAGCGCACAGAGATTTGAAGTGCGAAAATGCGCTAATCACGAGTAATTATAACTTGAAGGTGTCTGATTTCGGGTTCGCGAGGTACGTGACTGATGGGTACGGGAAGCGGCTGATGAGTGACACTTATTGCGGGTCTTTGAGTTACGCCGCCCCCGAGATTCTCAAAGGCTCGCCGTATCACCCAAAAATCGCCGATATTTGGTCGCTGGGGGTTATTTTGTACATCATGCTGAATAAAGCGATGCCTTTTGACGACACTAATATTAAGAGACTGCACGAACAACAAACCAACAAGCAGTGGAAGTTCCGGTCGAAAGTCGTGGATAATCTGAGTTCTGAGGTGAAGAAGTTGATGGGTCACCTTCTGGAACCTGACACGTCTAAACGGTGGAAAGTTGAGCAGGTTTTGGGGTCCGAGTGGTTCGGTATGGATCCGAGACTGGCTCAGCTGAACCCTGCTGAGCAAGCTGCTATGATTCATGCGCAGGAGGAACGGAAGAAATATATGGACACAGTGAGGAAGAAATCCATTTCTAAACCCGTGCGGGATGACATATCTAAGGACGTTTCTGTGTTGAAGAAGGAGGTGGAGCAGCAGGAACGAGAGAAACTGGCGAATTTAAGTTTGCCTAGTATGATCATTGATGAGTAACTACGTCGTTGTTTATTCTTGAGGGAAAAGTAAAAAAGTAACACCACTAAACGCGCTTAATAATTTATTTGTGATAATAAAAATATCCAATTACACGTTCATGAGAATAAAAATACAATAAACAAATAGAAATGATATTTTCTCAACAAAAATCCGTGTGATGCTGGGTTGGTGACAACGTCGAATACAAAATGGAGTCAACAACTTTAACCCTACTAATACGAATTGTTTGGTCACTTGTTAAATATGTCTAAAATCTATACCTACTCAATTGGTAACAACAATCTTTAAATACTGTTAATAAGTTATAAAAAAAATATAAATTCACGACTATAATTATACAAAAATCATCGGCAGCCTTTTTGGCACATCAGAACTTTACACTTACAAAAACAAACAAAATTTTGCCGACGATGATACATTTCCAATTGACAAAATAAAAAAACAACAAAACAAAGTAGGAATTTCATGCACTTTCCTAAGGCAAATTGTTGGGGGGGGAAGACATATTTGATAAATACTTTTTCCTCCAATTTCTGTAATACTAAAACTTATTAAACATGTCTTTGTGGTACTGGAGAGTTTGCAATTGATGCCGGTGACGAGCGCACCAGCTTTTGTTCAACGTGATGAGAGACATCCTCGGCCCTTAGGCTTTCCATCTTCATCATCTGCTAGAAAAGTGAGCACAATTACCCAGTGAAAAGCGTACTTACGACGAATGAAAAAGTGCAAGTGGCAGCCACAAGTACTAAATGCACCAGTCCCCAGAGCGAGTGAATTCTTATAGCATAATAACTCGTCCACAAAATTTGTTTATAACACAATTTACAACCCTTGCCGCCATAACACATTTTTCGGCACAAATCGACTGAGAAAAGTTTGATGTCTTATTATGTCACGAAGTAAATTGCGAGACCTTTGAGTAACTGCTGCAAAAACGCTAATTGTTCAATTTAAAATATATATTTTTATTTCTTATACCGGGTGTCTGGAATTATAATGATTTTATTTAAAATTGGTTCTTTTGCTACGTTTAACAACTAAACAACACATTCATCATTGTCATAATAACTAGTAATAAAACTTTTAGTTAATATTTCTATCCCCCATGACTATGTTTAATTACCATTAAGCGAAGGTAAGGAAGATTTTTTTGTAAATTATTTAAAACAATTTTGGGGGGCTTTGGTGTTCTATCTCTGGAAAATTCCGACCTGTCCTGTTTTTGAGTAAATTTTGGGACCCCGTTTTTTTTTTTGAAAAATTTAAAACAATCTTGATATTCTATGTATTCCTGTTTGGAAAGAATTTGAAAGTCCTTTGGAGCCTCTAGTGTATTTTCTTATAATAATTTAATTACATTTCTTAGAGGATACGTCATTTGTAAAAACCAGTCTTATCTTAGCACGTTTAAGCCCCACTCACCCGCCCTCGATTTTCTTAGACAGTATGTCATTTGCCAAAATTAGTCTTAACACGTACTAGCCCCACCCACTCGCCCTCTCTTTTCTTAGAGGGTATGTCATTTGCCAAAATCGGACTTATTTGAACAATTACTAGCTCCGCCCACCCACCCTCTCTTTTCTTAGAGAGTATGTGATTTGCCAAAATCAGTTTTATCTTATCAGGTTTTAGCCCCGCCCACCCGCCCTATCTTTTCTTAGAGGATATGTGATTTGCGAAAATCAGTTTTATCTTAGCAAGTACTGATGACTAACTTTTACAAAAAATGATCCAAATTTGGAAACATTACGAGCTTACTTCCTAAGGTAAGACTTATTTTGGCAAAGGGGATACCCTTCAAGATAAGAGCGGGCGGGTGGTTGGGGCTAGTAGCTGCTAAGACAAACCTGATTTTGACAAATAATATACTCTCTAAGTAAATAGTGGGCGGGTGGGCGGGGCTGGTACTTTGTAAGATAAGACTGATTTTGGTAAATGATATATCCTCTAAGAAAATAATGGGCGGTGGGCGGGGCAGGTATTTGTTAAGATAAGACTGATTTTGGCAAATGATATACCCTCTAAGAAAATAGTGGGCGGGTGGGCGGGGCAGGTATTTGTTAAGATAAGACTGATTTTGGCAAATGATAAGACTCCCCTGCGTTTTTAACAATCAAGTGGTGAGTTTGGGAAAAATAGTAAAAAAAATCCTTTTCACATTTTGGTGGAGTTATAATGATAAAATAAATTTGGTTCTTTTGCTACGTTTAGCAACTACAACACATTCATTATCACAATAACTAGTAATAAAACTTTTAGTTCTTATTTTAGCAGGTACTAGCCCCGCCCATCCACCCTCCCTTTTCTTAGAGAATATGTCATTTGCCAAAATTAGTTTTATCTTAGCAAGTTACTGATGACTAACTTTTACAAAAAATGATCACAATTTGGAAACATTACGAGCTTACTTACTTCCTAAGGTAAGACTTATTTTGGCAAATGAGATACCCTTCCAGAAAAGAGCGGGCGGGTGGGTGGGGCTAGTAGCTGCTAAGACAAATCTGATTTTGACAAATAATATAGTCTTTAAGAGAATAGTGGGGGGGTGGGGGGTGGGCGGGGCTGGTACTTTGTAAGATATGACTGATTTGGAAAATAACATACTCTCTAAGAAAATAAAGGGCGGGTGGGCGGGGTTCGTACTTTGCAAGATAAGACTGATTTTGGCAAATGATATATCCTCTAAGAAAATAATGGGCGGGTGGGCGGGGCAGGTACTTGTTAAGATAAGACTGATTTTGGCAAATGATATACTCTCTAAGAAAATAATGGGCGGGTGGGCGGGGCAGGTACTTGTTAAGATAAGACTGATTTTGGCAAATGATATACCCTCCAAGAAAATAGTGGGCGGGTGGGCGGGCCAGGTACTTGTTAAGATAAGACTGATTTTGGCAAATTATATATCCTCTAAGAAAATAATGGGCGGGTGGGCGGGGTAGGTACTTGTTAAGATAAGACTGATTTTGGCAAATGATATACCCTCTAAGAAAATAGTGGGCGGGTGGGCGGGCCAGACACTTGTTAAGATAAGACTGATTTTGGCAAATGCCCCTGCGAATTTTAACAATCAAGTGGTGAGTTTGGGAAAAATAGTAAAAAAATTTCTTCTCACATTTTGGTGGAGTTCTAATGATAAAATAAATTTGGTTCTTTTGCTACGTTTAACAACTAAGCAACACATTCATTATCATAAAACTACTAATAAAACTTTTAGTTCTTATTTTGGCAGGTACTAGCGCCGCCCACCCGCCATCGATTTTCTTAGATAGTATGTCATTTGCCAAAATCAGTCTTAACAGGTACTAGCCCCACCCACCTGCCCTCTCTTTTCTTAGAGAGTACGTCATTTGCTAAAATCAGTTTTATCTTAGCAGATACTAGCCCCGCCCACCCACCCTCTCTTTAATTAGAGAATATGTCATTTGCCAAAATTAGTTTTATCTTAGCAAGTTACTGATGACCAACTTTTACCAAAAATTATCACAATTTGGAAACATTACGAGCTTACTTACGTCCTAAGGTAAGACTTATTTTGGCAAATGAGATATCCTTCAAGAAAAGAGCGGGCGGTGGGTGGGGCTAGTAGCTTCTAAGATAAAACTGATTTTGACAAATAATATACACACTCTCTAAGAAAATAGTGGGCGGGGCTGGTACTTTGTAAGATATGACTGATTTGGAAAATGACATACCCCCTAAGAAAATAAAGGGCGGGTGGGCGGGGCTGGTACTTTGAAAGATATGATTGATCTGGAAAATGACATACCCTCTAAAAAAATAAAGGACTGGGAGTGGAGCTAGTACTTGCTAAGATAAAACTGATTTTGGCAAATTATATACCCACTAAGAAAATAGTGGGCGGGTGGGCGGGGCTGGTACTTTGTAAGATATGACTGATTTTGGCAAATGATATATCCTTTAAGAAAATAGTGGGCGGGTGGGCGGGACTGGTACTTTGTAAGATATGACTGATTTGGAAAATGACATACCCTCTAAAAAAATAAAGGACGGGGAGTGGGGCTAGTACTTGCTAAGATAAAACTGATGATTTTAAATTTGGTTCTTTTGCTACAATTAACAACTAAACAACACATTCATTACCACAATAACTAGTAATAAAACTTTTAGTTCTTATTTTAGTAGACATTAGCCCCGCCCACCCGCCCTCTCGTTTTTTAGAGTGTATCTCATTTGCCAAAATTACTCTAATCTTAGCAGGTACTACCCCGCCCACCCGCCCTCTCGTTTCTTAGAGTGTATCTCATTTGCCAAAATGACTCTAATCTTAGTAGGTACTAGCCCCACCCACCCACCCTCTCTTTTCTTAGAAGGTATCTGATTTACCAAAATTCCTCTTATATGTACCAGGCAGGAATTTTGAACATCTTCTCTAATGTTTAGTTGGTTATGCTTTAATGAATTTTTTTGTCGGTTTTGTTTTTGTCTATAATTTATAAATGTCTTATTAAATGTTTTTTTAGGTTTATTTATTAATGAAAAATAACAGCTTGTTTTATTAATAATAATGCAGGACGATTAATGACTTGGTTGTTATGGTTATTGTCCCAAAACAGAATTTCCCTCGCCCATAAAGTACAGCTTGTCAAATCTAGCTCTTTCGAAGAATTAAAAGATTTGATTTTGCGAATTTTATTGTTTTTATGACGACCATTATAAGCTAAAATAAAGATACGTATTTAATGTTTAAGTAAAGGTAAAGAAACGTGCTAACCGTTTGTTACAAGTGAGTTTTTCTATTACAAAAATTTGTGTTTAAGACAAATAGCAACCAGTAGACGTGAGAGTGAAACAGAAATTAAACTAAAAGATGTTTTCTACGAATTGCAATAACCGGATTACAATGCCGACGGTCCAGATTTTGTTATTGCTCTGACTTCCTCTTCTTGAATAAAACACTACATTTTATTTTGATTTTCGATGTTGTAATTAACATTTGGTTAATTATAACTTGTCTAGATCTAGAGGAGACTCAGCATCCCCTAACCTCCCCCTAGCTACGGTCTTGTCTAGGGGTTAAGAATATACTGTACGTCCTTAGGTTATCCTCGATAAGAAAAACAACTTGAAAGTGTTTATGTTTATACATCGGAAGAATGTCACGTAGAAATTAGTTTGATTTGGATGAGTTCGTTCCCTCAAAACAGAGGATTAAAACTACTAAGTAGTAAGCTACAATCGACAAAATGTTCTGAATATCATTATTATAATTCTTATAAATAAAGACGTTTGTATTTTCAGTTTCCGGAAAATGGGGTGACTCGTTCTTAATAGGATCAATAAAAAATATGAATGCTATGATGAATTACAAGTAAAAACTCATCATATTTTGCACATTTTGGGTAGAATTTATTCGGAAAAATTTTGAGATAACTTCATCAATTTTTTGGGGTTGATAAACAGATAGATTTTGATTAAAAAGTTACCATGCTTACAAAACTTCAAAATGTTGGCAAAAGTTTTGCAGTTCTTGATTTAAACAATAAAATAGACTCAGTCATTAAAATTTTTAAAACATCCTGTATAAGCAAATGTAAAAATTATTAATGCAGTGATAAATCACACTTTGCACATTTAAGTTAGGATTTGTTCAGAAAAATTTTGAAGTGACGTCATCAATTTTTAGGGGGGATGAGCAAATACATTTTGATCAAAAATTTACCATGCTTATGTTAACTTTAAAACATCTCTAAGATTTCAAAGCATTCGGTTTTGCAATCAGGAGATTAAATGAATAAAATAAATTCACGCATTCATTATTTTTTATGAGTCACCCTGTACAAGTAAAAATGTAAAAAATATGAATGAAATGATAAATAACAAGTACAGACTCATCATATTTTCTAAAAAAATAAAAGGTGGATTTCAGTGATTTTTTTTTGGTCTAACGAAATCCGCCATTTTCCAGACACCCGGTATAAACGGTTTTCAGCTTCACTAATTTTGTTATTAGGACGTTGGCATCCTTGATCGTGTTATGTTAACGTTAAATAATGTGCGCCTAAAAATTAATATGGTGGCAATTTTGGAAAACATTAACCTCAAAAACAAATTTCGTGAACGCAGCACTATGTTACCGGAATTAACAGAGACTGTCCTAAAAAGCAAAGAATCCAACTATTACTGCACAAGATGCATGAACTATCTCTAACTACCATTAGTTACCCAGAACACACCTCATACGATTTTATCCTGAAAGTGTCCTATTATCAAAAAACACTAATCAACAATGAATGATTAAAATCTCAGGAATCTAGCGATCCGAGTGGATAGCATGAAAGAAAACCATTATTTTGTAAACCATAACCCTCCATTTAGTTCATTAATCATGTTAAAACGAAAGCAATCGGGAGAAGTCGACAGGTCTCGCTCCAACAACCCCACTTTTAATAAATCATTTATTCCGGCAAAAATTGGGGTGAGATCTGTACGTTGTTAGAAAAGTTAGTAACTTACACCCATGTTAGGAGCAGAACCGTTCAGTTCACCTGACTGTTTATCGGCGTTGAGCGGACACACCAAGTCGCCATAGTCTGCCTCTCCTTTACTCTTTTTCCTCTTTAAGGAAAACTGCGACTTTTTGGCAACCTACAACAAAAACAACGATAAACGCGTCCAAAACACCTCAATTTTGGACATACTTTGAGCTTTGAAGACGGCGTCAACGGAATGTACCCCATCGTCGACTCCGCCTCCCTCTTCTCCTGTATGATCTCCTTCCCCAGCAGCTCGTTGAAGTGCGTCTTCAGGTGCCGCCTCAGCAGCGTTTTCCCCGGCGGGATCGACAGCAGCGACGCCAACAACTCCGCCGTGAACTTGGTCTCGAACACCATTAGCCCCCCGTGCACCCCCGCGCCCCTCAAGTTGGGCGCGTACTCCGCGAGATCGACGGCCCGCAGCCACTCCATAACCCTATGGGTGGTCCATAACGAGATCTGCTTGGAAGTCGGCTTTTCCGGGTCGTCGGGCAACGACCTCCTTTGTAAACAAGCCGGTTCGTAGTTGTTCTCCCTTAAAACCTGGATGCCGCGTTTGATGCTCGCCACGTGCAACATTGAGGTTATGTGCAGCAGCGCCAAATCGTCGACGGTTAACCTATGCAGGACGCGCCCGTCCACTCTGTTAATCAGGAAGCTCTCTTTGTGCTGGGGAAGCCCGGTGTCGTCCAGCCATCGCAGCACCCAAGCCGTGTCCAGCTGGCCCGCCTCCGACAAAAAGGGGTCGCTGGAGCCGTTTTCTTGTGTGTCGATTAGCGCTAGTTGGAGTTTCTTCTTATGGAGGGGGTTTTTGATATTCAGTTCCTTCTCGATCTCGGAAATGGGGGCTTCTTGTAGTTGCTGGCCGGACTTCACCCAGCGTTTGGCCTCGGGGATGTACTGGTCCAAGCTGAGGTCTTGCAGCCAGTCGCAGATGTTCTCGGTGTCCCATTCGACGAAGGGTTTGTCCGGCCTGAAAATCGCATCCTATCGACTGCGCCGAAAACGCAACCTACTTACTTGACGCTGAGCTGCGGCTCGCTCCATCCCAATCTAGCGGCGGCGGTGGCCCTCACCCCGCCCCTCTGGAACTCCCCGATCCCCGGTAACTCCTCCAGATTACCCGAACCGGACCTCTTCATCTTACCGAAGATCTTTTTGATCCCTTTATTCCTGTTGAACTGAAGGGTGGGAGATTGAGGCGATTCCCCTGAACCGTCCTCGATGATTTTCTCGGTTTCGGCTGTCAAAAACGCAAATGAGAAATGCGCCGGAAATTAGATTGACACACGGTCGTTAAGCAAGCTAGAGAAGGATTTAAGTGTATAGCTCGAGTCATTAGTTGCAGCAGAATGGTGGGGGCCGAGGCGGATGTCTCAAAGCCGCACTTACGGCTTTCGGAGTGTAGATGATTGTATTCGGGTAAGTGTGGCTCTGTATGTGAATAAAACGATACGATACAAACACACGTCAAGTAGGTATCGGGTTAACAAAGTCGCTTTGTGATTGGTTGTGACCAACGACGAACTTAACCTGATAACTACTCGTAACTTAATTGTGGCCATCCGGAGGCGCCCCTTTACGACAACGGCACATCGACAAGCGAGTAGCTTTAGTTCGGTTAGTACGGCGTCATGCCAAGACGACTAGAGCTATCACCTAGATTTGGCACGGAGAACCCCCTGGCCCGCCCCCCAATGAGTGAAGAAAGTCCCCTACCAAACGCCACACCCTTCTTCGACGGATTCGCATTGGAATCGACCACGGAAATGTTGCTACCGTTGCTGATGAATTGCTGACGCGGAAGACTTCCATAGTGAAGGTCGATCTGCCTCTTATAGTTGGCGGGTGGAGTCTGAAAACGCCAAATTTTGCAAAATTTACCGGGTTTTGTGTAAATTAAAATCCCACCGATGACACCAAAAACGCGTGAACGGTTACTGTACCTTTGGTGCTTGGATCTCCTGCTCCCTCCTCGGGCTGCTGCCCGTCATGGTGACCGGACTGGGCGACGGCGACATCCTCAACGCCTGCAACCCCAAGAAAAATAACCCCCACGTGCAACCAACCCCCGTTTCTTACTTGATTGCTGGAATGGTGCACGGGCGTCGACGTTTGCGCCATCCTCGGCACGAGGGGCGGCTTTTTCACGTCCCCGTTGTTGTTGAATTGGCTCCTCAGCTCCATGTTTTCCCTCTCCATGGCCGCCTGTTGCAATTTCAGTTCGCTCACGATCGACATCATCTCGAGTTTTTGCGTTTCGAGCGACGATCGCGATAAAACTTCTCGTTGTAATTTGTCTTCGGTATCTACGAGTAGCTGTTTCTTTTCCATCAACATCTTCTCCAAGTCGGCGATCTTATCGGTCTGCGCTTCGATCTGTTCAGTCAGGACTTGGACTTGGAGTTGGAGATTGTCCTTCTCGAATTGTAGCTTTCTGAATTTCTCGTCCTGTTCGTTCGGCTGGAAGCACACGCGGGATCGATTAAAATGCGGAATGTGGAAGGCAAATATTGGATTTGGAAGGCTGATGGTTAGTTTGTATAGGAATTTTATTAGACTTTACGATGAGTTATGGGGTGGTTTTTTTAACGGGGTTAGCGCGAAGTGCTGAGGCGGGACGACGTGCTCGAGCAAGTTGATGTCTTACAAGTTGCGCTGCGAGTTACGAACTATAAAAAACCGTCTAGGGTGAAAATGTGTATTATTGGTTGCATATGTAACAACGTAGTTATTCAGACGTCGTACAACAATGGCATGTTTTGACTATTTCATGAAATATTTAAACCATTCGGTTGGAGCCGCCCACCCGAAAAATTTCATCAAAACCGGAATTTATCCCAGATTCGGCTCCGGCAAACGAGCGGCGCTTCAAAGGATTAAGCTCGCCAGATTGTATAAACAAGTACAAACTGTAATCCTAGCTCTACCAGAAACAGTACAATCTACGTTTTTCCCCCTAGTTAGTAAGCAGACATTAGTTGGTATAAATTTTAAAACTTATTTATAAAAGGAGTCAGTAGAAAACAGAAGCGCGTTACGAAAATAGAAGCCCGAAGAGATAAAACACGAGCTGAAAGCGAGAATTATTTTGAAAGTGAGTGGCTGAAAACGTTCCATTAAGGCCGTGAGGACGACAGATGAGATTCATCGCTAGTGTTTATTTTAAAAATTATTCGTAAAAGAGATTTACAAGTCGAGTCTGAAGAAGTTTTAAAGAAACTTGAAAATACGAGAGGTCTGTCTCCGAGAGTTTATTTTTTCTCCCGTGCTTTGCCGCTGAAACAATACTTCAAACGTTTAACCGGAAATTAAAGTTTAATCTAAATAGAAAAATTGGGTAGTAAATCTCGTAAAATGGTCTGATTCCTCATTAAGTTCTAACATTACACAACATGCTGGTCCAAATTTATAACAAGACAGAAATCGGCCACATATGTGTTCGATCTAGTGTATTTCGGGCTGTGAAGTAACGCCCAATGGTATAACAGCTGTCATCTTTGCCGATGATGTAAGAGAAATATTTAAAAATTTCGATCTTTGGTAAATAAATACTCTAATTGACACGTGGGTGTGGTTTAGCTTTTCTATGCGTTCTTAAATAAAAATATGTTCATTAATGTGGAATCTTTTTACATTTTACCGTTTATCAGGTGGTCACCTGATTTCTGAAAAAGTTCTCCAAGGTAGAACTTGCCGAAGAAACATCCACAAGTTAACCCTCCCTCGCCCCTGATTTTTGTTTTCTTACAATCCCTTTAAAGTTAAAACCACTTCCGCAGTTTTTTTGATGAATTTTTCAATCTTCGATTTTTCAATTTTCCAACTCGGATGTTTCAATTTTTAAATTTTTTTCGTTTCGGTTCTTTATTTGCGTTATTTTTGCAAAGTTAACAAAAACTGGTCGAAGGATAGAACTTCCCTCGCCCGTGAAGTGAAGAACTGTAAATCCCGCTTCTTTGAAAAATTATAAAAAATTTTTGAAAATTTTGTTTTCTTTTATATAATCTCCATAAAGTTAAAAACCAGTGGCATAAATAACACTCTCACAACTTTTTTTGACTTGAGTTATTCAATTGCAGATTTTCACTTTTTTTGTTCCTTCAGTTTTTTAATTTACCAACTTTGATTATTTCAACTTTTATATTTTGCAATTTTTCGTTTCTTTAATTTTTTATTTCTACAATTTTTCAATTTCTCATTTCTTCAATTTTTGGGTTTTTCAGTGTTATTATTTTATAGTTCTTCTTTTTTCAATGTAAAATTTTTCAATTTTTGGATTTTTAAAATTTCCGATTTGCAATTTTTCGGTTTTTCAACTTTCAAATTTTTTAATTTTTCGTTTTTTCAATTCAATTTTAGATTTTTCAGTTCCTTCTTTTTTCAATTTTTCATTTCCTCAATTTTACGATGTGTAACTCTTCGAGTTTTCACTTTTAGATTTTTCAGTTTTTCGATTTGCAATTTTTGGGTTTTTCAATGTGAAATTTTTCAATTTTGGATTTTTTAATTTTCTGCTTTTTCAATTTTTGATTTTTTGTTTCTTTAATTATAGGATGTGCAACTCTTCGAGTTTGCATTTTTAGGTTTTTCAATTTTTCGTTTTTCCAACTTATACGTTTCAATTTTTTAATTTTTCAATTTTTGGACTTTTCAATTTTTCGGTTCGCAATTTTTCGGTTTTTCAACTTTGAGATTTTTTAATTTTTCATTTCTTCAATTTTCGATTTTTGTTTACTCAATTTTTAGGTTTTTAGTTTTTGATTTTCCAACTTGGACGTTTCAATTTTTTAATTTTGCAATTTTCCAATTTTTCATTTCTTCAATTTTTCGATTTGCAATTTTTGTGTTTTTCAATGTGAAATTTCTCAATTTTTGGATTTTTCAACTTTTAGATGTTTTAATTTTTCGTTTTTTTCAATTTTAGATTTTTCAGTTCCTTCTTTTTTCAATTTTCATTTCTTCAATTTTTAATTTTTTGTTTGTTCAGTTTTTGGATTTTCCAACTTGGACCTTTTAATTTTGCAATTTTTCAATTTTTAATTTCTTCAATTATTCGATTTTTCAATTTTTCGATTTGCGATTTTTCGATTTTGCAACATTTAAATTTTTTAATTTTTCGTTTTTTCAATTTTTTATTTTTTGTTTCTTCAGTTTTATGATGAAAAAAAAAAACTCTTCGAGTTTTCAGTTTTAGATTTTTCGGTGTTTCGATTTTGCAACTTGGACCTTTTAATTTTGTAATTTTTCATTTCTTCAATTTTTCGATTTGAAATTTTCCAATTTTTGGATTTTTCAATTTTTCGATTTGCGAGTTTTCCGTTATTCAACTTTAAATTTTTTTAATTTTTCGTTTTTTCAATGTTTGATTTTTTGTTTCTTCAATTTTATGACGAAAAAAAACTCTTCGAGTTTTCAATTTTAGATTGTTCAGGTTTGCGATTTTTCAACTTGGACATTTTAATTTTTTCATTTTGCAATTTTAAAATTTTTTATTTCTTCAATTTTTCGATTCGGTTTTTCATTTTTTCGTTCTGCAGTTTTTTGGTTTTTCAACTTTTAGATATTTTAATTTTCATGTCTTCAATTTTTGATTTTTTATTTCTTTAATTTTACGATGTGCAACTCCTCGAGTTTTCAGTTTTAGGTTTTTCACTTTTTCGATTTTCCAACTTGGACGTTTCAATATTTTTTTATTTTGCAACTTTTCATTTCTTCAATTTTTCGATTTGTAATTTTTGTGTTTTTCAATGTTATGATTTTTAGTTCATTTTTCAATGTGAAATTTCTCAATTTTTGGATTTTTCAGCTTTTAGATGTTTCAATTTTTCGTTTTTTTTCAATTTTAGATTTTTCAGTTCCTTCTTTTTTCAATTTTCATTTCTTCAATTTTTAATTTTTTGTTTCTTCATTTTTGGATTTTCCAACTTGGACCTTTTAATTTTCCAATTTTTCATTTCTTCAATTATTTGATTTTTCAATTTTTCGATTTTGCAACATTTAAATCTTTTAATTTTTCGTTTTTTCAATTTTTTATTTTTTGTTTCTTCAGTTTTATGATGAAAAAAAAACTTTTCGAGTTTTCAGTTTTAGATTTTTCAGTTTTTCGATTTGGAATTTTTCGATTTTTCAATCTTATTATTTTGTAGTCCTTTTTTTCGATGTGAAATTTTCCAATTTTTGGATTTTTCAATTTTTCGATTTGCGATTTTTCCGTTATTCAACTTTAAATTTTCTTAATTTTTCGTTTTTTCAATGTTTGATTTTTTGTTTCTTCAATTTCATGATGAAAAAAAACTCTTCGAGTTTTCATTTTTAGATTTTTCAGGTTTGCGATTTTCCAACTTGGACATTTTAATTTTTTAATTTTGCAATTTTTAAATTTTTTATTTCTTCAATTTTTCGATTCGGTTTTTCATTTTTTCGTTCTGCAGTTTTTTGGTTTTTCAACTTTTAGATATTTTAATTTTCATGTCCTCAACTTTTCATTTTTTATTTCTTTAATTTTATGATGTGCAACTCCTCGAGTTTTCAGTTTTGGGTTTTTCACCTTCTCGATTTGTAATTTTTGTGTTTTTCAATGTTATGATTTTATAGTTCTTTTTTCAATGTGAAATTTCTCAATGTTTGGATTTTTCAGCTTGTACATGTTTTAATTTTTGTTTTTTTCAATTTTAGATTTTTCAGTTCCTTCTTTTTCAGTTTTCATTTCTTCAGTTTTTAATTTTTTGTTTCTTCAGTTTTTGGATTTTCCAACTTGGACCTTTTAATTTTGCAATTTTTCACTTTTTCATTTCTTCTATTCTCCGATTTTTCAATGTTATTATTTTGTAGTCCTTTTTCTAAATGTAAAATTTTTCAATTTTTCGGTTTTTTCAACATTTAAACATTTTTTAATTGTTCCTCTTTTCAATTTTTGATTTTTTGTTTCTTCCATTCTACACTCTCCGAGTTTTCATTTTTAGATTTTTCAGTTTTTCGATTTTCCAACTTGGACGTTTTAACTTTCTAATTTTGCAATTTTTAAATTTTTTATTTCTTCAATTTTTCGATTTGGTTTTTCAACTTTTAGATATTTATTTTTAGATTTTTCAGTTCATTCTTTTTTCAATTTTTGATTTGCAATTTTTCTAATTTTCGTTTTTAAATATGTGATAAATATATGTAACTTTTAAAATTGTTCACTTTCACAATATCACGTTTTTTCGATTTTTTAAATTATTGGACTTTTTCATTTTTATTTTTTAAATTTCTGAATATTTCATTTTTAAATTTTCCGATCTTTCAATGTTACAGTTTTTCGACTTTACAATCTTGACGATTTTATAATTTTTCGATTTTTAACTTTCTCGATTTTTAGTTTTTCAATGTTTTAATTTTTCGATATTTCAATCTTTCGATTCTTTAACTTTTCGAATAAAAATTTGAAAAACAAAAGAAAACACATCGAAAAATTGAAAGACTAAAAACTGAGGAACTTAATAGAAAACGTGCAAAACAGAAAAAACCAAATATTCTAACATCGAAATACTGAAAATTAGAGAAATCGGAAAAACTGATAATTGAGAAATCCAAAAACTGCAAAATTGCAAAATTTGGAAGTCGAGAAATTAGAAAATTGAAAAAATAAAATAAATCCGGATCTTTCGAAAAATTATAAGGCTTCATTTTGCTAATTTTATTTTTTGATCCCAATCCTTAGAAGTTAAAATAAAAATATGTATGTAATCTTGGGTGCATGTAAAGCGTTTGTTTCAAATGAGTTTTTTCATCAAAAATATGTGGTGAAGTCAGCAATATTTTATATTAATCAAAACATTAATAAAATGCCTTATTTTTTTTTGAGTCACCCTGTATAGTTAAGTAATTCTAAAATCTATGAATGCATTGATAAACCATAATTATAATCGTAATATTTTGTATATTTCAGAGGATTTATTCGGTGAAAGTTTAAGATGACATCATCCATTTTTTGGAATAAACGAATAAATTTTGATTATTAATTTACCATGACTCCGACAACCTTAAAACGGTTTCAAAGCTAAATTGCAAAATGTTATACAATTTTGTTTTTTTCCCCGAAAGTCTGGACACCTAGGGTAAAACTAAATACGGATTCATAAGCTACATAATTTTACAAAATTGAAATAATATTTGCCAATATAAATTTTCCTAATACACCTACAAAATTCGACAACATCTGTCTAATGAAAATTCGGACAGACGGCAGATAGACAGACACACGGAAGCGGGAGACCTATTTTACGTATTCTAGGGGTCATGAAACGTCAAGAAAACATAAAAAGAGCCAGTTGTCCAATGGACTCCATTACAATACTTAGCTTACGCTCAGGAAGTAAAAAATAAATATCAGCACATTATTGTGCACATTTTAAATACAATCTAAAAATAAATGAAAAACATATTCATCAAGAGCGGAAGCACAAATAAAAAACCGAAACTCGGCGAATAAATTCGGGGCGTAACAAGCAAACCGAGCCTGCGGTTGCAATGTGATAAAAAACCTGTATTTCGCAAAACAAAATTAGAAACGTGAAAATTAAACAATATTTAATTAACTGTGAACATAAAAACGAAACTAACAGTCCCAGTTTCTGTGTTCAAAGCATTCAACGCCGACGATTCAACGCGTATTCAAAACTGATGAAGCAGACAATATTGTCGCGGAGCGAGCGAGACGTTGTGTATGCGAACAACTCGTTAACTTTTTGGAATTTTCTTCCACAAATAAACCGCCAGATCGATACAGAGTGCAGACTTTGCAGTCGAACTGCGGACCAAAAGTTTGCCAACTCTACGATTAGCACATTAAAAGGTTTTTTCGCTTTCAGTATGTGTATTTAGCGTGCTAGGGTGCAGTTTAAGAGTATGAGGATGGGTAACGCAGGGGAGATTAAAGTTTGGATTCTGTTTTCGAGCTCGCGTAGCGAGCGAGTCGTGTCCGCGACTACGACTTGCCGCCTTGCCACTGCACAACAGCCCTTCCTCCCAATTGACCAACCACCCCAAACCCGCCCCGATGTTAGTACTATTTTCCTCTCGCAATACCTTCGGATACGAGGGCGCCGTCCAGTGGTATCCCCTATCTCCGTAGAAGCAACACGGCGGCGGCGCCACGTGGTACCCGCAACACCCCATCATCTGCTCGTGCCTACACCTATTGCACTCCCCGTACAAGTCCGGGTGACTCCCCCTATCCATCAACATGGGGCTACTCCCGTACCTTTGCGGGTCCATCCGCTCGTGCCGCCTGTGGAAATTCTCGTAGCAGAAGTTCTCGTGGGGGTTGCAGCACCAGTTCTGGCACGGCGCGAAATCGTCGAGTCGGGGGGGACTCTTCGGCACGTGCGTGGAGCGCGACTTCTGGTCGCGCTCCTGCCGCTGGTGGCGGCGCCGGTCGAGGCTGCCGGGGGCGGTCTTGTCCCGGCGCGGCGTCTTCGAGCGCCCGATGGGCGGCTTGCTGGCGGGGACGGAGTCCTCCATTCGGGCGGGGGACGGCTCTTTACGGATCCATTGGAAGTCGTCGTTGCAGCGGGTCGAGCTGTCCCTCAGGCTGCGGGGCTGGTCGGAGGATGTGGTGGAGATGTCGGAGGTGGAGCCATGGGTGGAGGCGGACGGCCAGGGGACGGATACCTTCAAGGTGGAGTCATCTTCGGGGCTGGAGTCTTCTTCTTCTAAACCTGGGTGGGGGGCGAGTGAAAGGGTAAGTGGCGCGGTGGCGTGCTTGTGAGGTTTGTGTTCGACAAATAGGAGTTGGTTATTTAGAAATCAATTTAATAAAAATCGTATCACAATTATTTATTTGATGGTGGATGTGGAACGCAGTCGAAACAGGTAAAATTTTAGCCTAACATTTCATCAGTTTAATACGTAACTGTTAATTTTTTTGAGGCTTGCAAATTTCCTAAAAAACTTGAAGTTGATTTAGAAGTAAAGTTCTTTCGTATGCAGAATTTCCTAAACTCTTCGTAATACATATATTTTTTAAATAAAGAGTAAATATAATAAAAAAAAATCTTTCACAAATAGTTTCGAGAACAGAAAATGAGAATTTGTGGTAACACAATTTTTTTTTGGAAAATTTGGACTTATTTTAAAAAAAGTTCTCTCTGCAGAAACGATTTTATGATTAATCAAAAATAAATTTTCGAAAGGGCTCAAAGCTAGTGTTAATTAAGTGGAAAAAATGGTCTGGTTTAAAATAAATTAAAAATAATTTATGCCTTATGGATTTTTTTCTGAGAATACGAGTTTCGAAAAACATAGTAATCCGGATTTTTTTGAAAATTTGGAATTGTTAGAGAAAAAGTTCTATTCTAAAAATCAAAAACGCTGTATGATCAGTCAAAAATACATTTTCGAAAGGACCCAAATTTAATGTTAATTTAGTGAAAAAAAAGTGTAACTTAAAATAAATAAAAAAATATTTATGACCTATGGATTTTTTCTGGGGATGATCGCTTTTAACGTCTTAACTTACGATCACATTAATAGATACATAAAAAAAATCAAAATTTTATATAAAAAATAAATAAGCAAAAAAATAGTGTCTTAAATTCAAAATTTCTAAAAAATAATAATAAATTGGATAATTTGGAGTCTTCTTTGTGATGGATTAACAAATTAGTAACAATAAATGAAATCGGGACAACTTGTTTTACAACAATTGTTCAAATTAAACTCTAATTTTCTAAACATTTCGAGAATAGGAAATGAAAATTTGTAGTAATAAGGTATTTTTTTGAAATATTGGAATTGTTACAGAAAAAGTTCTATCTATTTAGAGTTTTTAAATATTAAATTCCAAAAAGCAAAACGCTTTTATAACCAATAAAAAATAAATTTTCGAAATGGTTCAAAGTTACTCTTAACTAAATGAAAAAAAAAGGTCTTCCCTAAAATAAATTAAAAATATATACAGGGTGAATCACTAAGCGTGCGGTCCTCGATATCTCATTAATTATTAGAGAATAGACAGAAAAAAGTCAAAGACCAAAGTTTTTAAGGTGTAACACAATGCAGTTTTTTTATGAAACACCCTATATATTTTTACATATTTTGATTTACTGCTTCTTAGGCTTTACAACCACAAATACAGGGTGTTTCATTTGACAAAACTGAACAATCGATATTTGAAAATTGTACAGTTTCGATTGTTTTGTAAATATTTGGTATAGTTGATAACCCTTCCACTGCCAAAAATATTTCAAGAAAATTGTAATAACGTGACGACGTCGCATCGGATTTTCAAAAATAAACTGTGCCTGTAAAGCCTAAAAAGAGATCGACATTTTAGTAAAGATATATAGGGTGTTTCCGTTAAAAAAACTAAATGTTGTCTTATGCTTTAGTATAGTTAAACATAATTATCTTAAAGTATAGTCCTCAAAGTACCGTTCAACTTTCGCTCAGCTTATTCTTCTATTTCTAATAATAATTAATGAGATACCGGGGGACCGCAAGCTTAGTGACTCACCCTGTATATGCTCCATGAATATTTTACCAAGGTTTCTCAGATATATTTTCAAATAAAGCATAAACATGTTTTAAAAAAAATCTTCCACAAATAGTTTCGGGCACAGAAAATGAGATTTTGTAGAAATACGAAGTTTTTTTGAAAATTTGGAATGGCAGAAAAACTTGGATCTATACCCAGTTTTTTAAATATTACATTCTAAAAACCAAAAACGCTTATATCAAAATCAAGAATAAATTTTCGCAAGGATTCAAAGTTAATGTGAATTTAATGGAAAAATAGGATACATCTCAAAATAAATTAAAAAAAAAAATGCCCCATGGATTTTTTTTCTGAGAATTAGTATGAGGTTGTTTTAAGATCTTAACTTGAGATCACAATAATATATAAAAAATCCAACACATTAAGTAATAAACGAATAAGAAAAAATTATTTCAAAATTTTTAACAAAAAAACAATAATTTGGATTCCTTTTTGTGATTTGTTTTTTTTTTACAACAGTTGTTCAAATTGAATTTCCTAAAAAACTTGAAGTTGACTTAGAACTAAAGTTCTCTCGTATGCAGAATTTCCAAAACATTTCGAGAAATATTTTCAAATAAAGTATAAATATAATTATAAAAATCTTTCATAAATAGAACAGGAAATGAACAATTAGTTGTAATATGAAGTTTTTTTTGAAAATTTGGAACGGTTATAGAAACGTCAAAAAAAACGAAAGCTCCAGTAATCGAAATATCAAAAAATTCAAAAATTGAAAAATTTTCAAAATTGAAATGTTGAAAAGTTTGAAAATACAAAACCAAGATGTCAAGGAATCGAAATTGAAAAATTCATGAATCGAAAGTTCAAAATTTAAAAAATCTAAAAATTGAAGAATCGAGAAACTGAAAAATCGAAATATATATTGAGAAATCAAGAAATTGTGAAAACTGCAAAATCGAAAAATTTTAAAAATCGGAAAATCGAAATCTAAAAACTCGAAAATTAAAAGATCGAGCAATTGAAACAGTAAAACAACGAAAAATTGAAAAATCCAGAATTTAAAAAATTCTCAAAATGAAATGTCGAAAAATTGAGAAATTTAAAAATCGAAAAGTTGAAGAATATTAAAAATCGAAAAACCGAGACGTCAAGAAATCGAAACATCAAAAAATCGTAAAATTGAAAAATTAAATATCGAATAATGAAAAATTAAAAATGTCAAATCTAAAATTTAAAAAATTGAAAATCGAAAAACTGAAAAATCCAAAAATTGAAAAATTCCAAAACTGAAATGACGGAACAACAGGAAATCGAAAAATTGAAAATCGAAAAAGTAAAAAATCGAGAGAACGAAAAATCGAAACGTCAAAAAAATCGAAAAATTGAAGGATCGACATTTTGATAAATCCTAAAACTGAAATATCGAAAAATTTAAAAATGGAAGAAAAATTGAAGAATCGAAAAATTGAAAAATCGAAAAATTTTAAAAATCGGAAAAACGAAATCTGAAAACTCGAAAATTAAAAGATCGAGCAATTGAAACAGTAAAACAACCAAAAACTGAAATGTGGAAAAATTGAAAAATCCAGAATTTGAAAAATTGTCACAATAAAATGTTGAAAAACTGAGAAATTTAAAAATCGAAAAGTTGAAGAACATTAAAAATCGAAAAACCGAGATGTCAAGAAATCGAAACATCAAAAAATTGTAAAATTGAAAAATTAAATATCGTCAAATCTAGAATTTAAAAAAATCGGAAAACCGAGAAATCGACAATCCAAAATTTAAAAAATTGACAATCGAAAAAATGAAAAATCAGAAAATTGAAAAATTCCAAAACTGAAATGATGAAACAACAGAAATCGATAAATTGAAAATCGAAAAAGTAAACAATCGAGAGACCGAAAAATCGAAACGTCAAAAAAATCGAAAAATTGAAGAATCGACATTTTGATAAATCCTAAAACTGAAATATCGAAAAATTTAAAAATGGAAGAAAAATTGAAGACTCGAAAAACTGAAAAATCGAAAAATTTTAAAAATCGGAAAAACGAAATCTGAAAAGTCTAAAATTAAAAGATCGAGCAATTGAAACAGTAAAACAACGAAAAATTGAAATGTGGAAAAATTGAAAAATCCAGAATTTGAAAAATTGTCACAATAAAATGTCGAAAACCTGAGAAATTTAAAAATCGAAAAGTTGAAGAACATGAAAAATCGAAAAATCGAGATGTCAAGAAATCGAAACATCAAAAAATTGTAAAATTGAAAAATTAAATATCGTCAAATCTAAAATTTAAAAAAATCGGAAAACCGAGAAATCGACAATCTAAAATTTAAAAAATTGAAAATCGAAAAACTGAAACACCAAAAAATTGAAAAATTCCAAAACTGAAATGATGAAACAACAGAAATCGAAAAATTGAAAATCGGAAAAGTTAAAAATCGAGAGACCGAAAAATCGAAACGTCAAAAAAACGAAAAACTGAAGAATCGACATTTTGATAAATCCTAAAACTGAAATATAGAAAAATTTAAAAATGGAAGAAAAATTGAAGAATCGAACAACTGAAAAATCGAAAAATTTTAAAAATCGGAAAAACGAAATCTGAAAAGTCGAAAATTAAAAGATCGAGCAATTGAAACAGTAAAACAACGAAAAACTGAAATGTGGAAAAATTGAAAAATCCAGAATTTGAAAAATTGTCAAAATAAAATGTGGAAAAACTGAGAAATTTAAAAATCGAAAAACCGAGATGTCAAGAAATCGAAACATCAAAAAATTGTAAAATCGAAAAATTAAATACCGAAAAATGAAAAACTGAAAACGTCAAATCTAAAATTTAAAAAAATCAGAAAACCGAGAAATTGAAAATCGAAAAACTGAAAAATCAGATAATTGAAAAATTACAAAAATGAAATGATGAAACAGAAATCGAAAAATTGAAGAATTGACATTTTGATAAATCCTAAAACTGAAAAACCAAAACTGAAAAATCGAGAAATGGAAAATTTAAAAAAATATAAAAGTTGAGAAATCGAGAAATATTGATATTTTGCCTTTTTTTCTTAATGTACTCTTCTTTGAACAACATGATACTCAAAAAGATGTTTTTGTTTTATTGTAAAGAATTGCTTCACGGCGAATGAAAAAAAATCATCACAATGGAGATAGGGTGGGTGGGCGGGCTTACATTTGTCCTTTTTATTTTAATATGT